CATAATCCACCGGCACCAGCATGGTTGATCTCCTGTAAATGATTTGAATATATATAGCATATAAAATTTAAGACTGATTTGAACACAATGTGTGTATAGCAGAGAGCTATCTGAGACTGTTAGATTAACGAACCTCGAAGAATATCCCAAATAGCGTATCAGGAATGGGTCGTCCAGCTCCATTAGAAGCATCTACTTGCAAAGTCACGGCTGGTTTTGGATCTTCTTGAGCATCAACAACACGAAGGCTTTGATACACAAAACAAGAGCCAAGGAGAAAAGAAAGTAGGCAAACACTTCTGAGCAACTTCCAAGACTCCATATCCATAATCACCACATCCAAATAAACCAAGAATCTAGATATAAGAGACATTTATAGAAACATTGAATCCAATCAGCTAAAGCCGTTAGATTATTTAAAAAAGCCTCAAAAGAAGGTACCAGCTACAAAAGAAAACTATGACATAAGACAAGTTAGAAAAGAGAATCTCTTTTGCTCAAACTTATCAGTTTGTCTTAACCAAAAGGAAGATAAACACATGAGAATATATAGGACCCAGTACTGTTTTTTTTGTCCTCATTGGAATGCAACAAGACAGAATCTTCTCAATTTTAGTTATGATGAATTTGGAATCAAAACATATCTACCAAAGCTATAAAATGAGGCTATGATAGAAAATCACAAATCTTAAGAGTGGCTCTCCTTCAATCTCAACTCATAAAGTCAAAACCTTCAGACATAAATCACAATTGGCTATAAGAACAAAACCAGACAGAAACTTTCTCAAATTCAGAGGGAAAGGTGTGATCTTTTCAGATTCTCTCCTTAGAGAATCTCTCAAATCTTGGTCATAAAGTTTGAGCTTTGATAAGCAACGAATTAGAATAAAGACATAAACAAGAGAAAGCACAATGAAGAAGCCAGAATTGGAATCAACAAGAAATGTAAAACAAACCTGTGGAATGAAAGACAAAGGATTGATGGAAACGAGACAAGAAATGGGTGAGAAGAAGAGTGGAGGTATAAGAATGTTTGTTTGGATATTGCTTGCTTAGAGTAAGAGAATCTTGGAATGATTGCTTTCACGTTAGATCGAATTGCTTGTTTTCGTGGAAGAAGTGGATGTTGATTAGAAGCGACGACTACTGATGAACCTCGTTCACCTGTTCATCTATTTCTATTTTGGATAAAGATGTTTCTCCACTTTAGTTTGGATAATGCTATTATTAATTTTTTGTTGAAATTTGGATAAAGATATAATTTTTTCATAAACCTACCATACCAAATCATTTTGATGCATTGCATTTTTTCAATGAAATCGGATCAACCGTTTTTTTTTTCTTTTTAAAGAAGAAGGTCACAGATTGAATCCACACACTAATCTCCGGATTTTATGAAGGATCGAATACTCTATAATTAAAAATACGGTAGGTATTTATTTCTTATACAATTAATTGTTAAAGGAACATGTACATGTGACGTGTGTGGGTTAGGACTTAGGAGGATAACCTTATTGATTACGTTGAGGAAAAACATGTATATAAAAAAGCTAATGACTATGTTTGGTACATCTACAATTAGAGGTTTTTATACATCATCTCTGCAAAAGATCCAGTCCCAAACAAGGGCTTCTAAGGTATTGTTGTATTAGCACTATCATGTCTGAATAATGACAACTGTTTTGAAAATAATAAACTCCAGATCAACAATAATGTTAAGAAAAGAAACAGAGTCAAGAACATGTTTGTCCTTGAAAAAATCACGTCCAATTTCCTTCGAGTTACAATTGTGATGTCACTCGTTTCAAGTTTTAACCTCCTCGAGAAATTAGCTCTAGATACGATATTAACAATTTTCTGTTTTGCTTCTTTTTTGAAGCGTATAAAATGTTTTTCGACCACGAAATTCACCGTTAAATTAAAAAAAAAAAAAAAAAACAACTGTGAAAATTCAAGAGTCTTGGTTTTAAAGTGAGGATCTAGTTCAGAGCAAGATCCAAGAAATCGGCACTCTAGCGAAATCAAACAACAAACATGAAACAGAGAAAAAAAGTACCAATCGATACACACGTTCCGATCATCAACAGACGTCATCACGGTATTGCTTTGTCTACATTTGGGAAAGAGCAATGGCGTCACCACTTTTTCCAAAATTGTAGACAAAGAAGCACAGAGATGACGTGTTACTATACTTCTGCAGTCGCAAGCTCGCAAATCTAATCTCTGCAGAGGAAGAAGTACCTGTGTGTATATTTATAGGAGGCTTCTTTAGGGTATACAATCTGGAAACCCTAAAAGAATCTAAAGTACAAAGTCGCCGCGAAAGGAGGACTCGAAATAGAGTGTCGACCAAATTTGCAAAACATGGGCTGAGCCCAATTATTAAAAGCCCAATGACTCAATTCCTTTTCCTAAACATATTCGAGTTATAAATAGTATAAAAACACTTTTCTTGCTACGAAAGAAATTAGGGCTTTCTTCTTCTGACGAAAAATAAGAGATGTCATCAGAAGCAGAGATTTGTCGGAAAAAAAATTAAAAGAACATTATTCTGCAATGACAGGATCAGTGCGTTGCCTGACGATTTACTGTTGCATATACTGTGTCTAATCCCCACAAAAGATGCGGTGACCACCATGGTTTTGTCGAAACGATGGCGTTCTGTCTGGACAGTGTTGCCTAAACTCGACTACACAGAAAACTCAGAAGGTAAGAAAAGCGTTTGGGACTTCCTTGACAAGTCACTGCAACTACACAAGGCACCTTCACTAGAAAGACTGCGTATCCATCTGGGACAACAATGTCCGGTTGATGTCGATGTCGGAAAGTGGGTCTTAAATGCGGTTGATCGTTGCGTTCGAGAGCTTATTTTAGAGATAAGATTTATACCAACAGCAGATCCTACCAGCTTGCCTAAGAGCCTTTACACCTGCAAAGCTCTTGTGAAATTGACTCTATGGGGCGAGATTCTCATTCATGTTCCTTCCTCGGCTTACCTCCCGTTTCTTGAATCGCTGGTCCTTGCCAAGGTGATGTATAAAGACCAAGATTCTCATGTTAAGCTTTTATCGAGCTGCCCTGTTCTCAGATATTTGCTTGTGTGTCGAAATAAGAGTGACAATGTGACAAGGTTCAATGTGAAACTTCCTTCTTTAAGAAAATTGAAGTATATGGATTTTGCACCACATATTTGCAATGCTCATTCTGGAAGGTCCTTGGTTATAGATTCTCCGGGATTAAATTACGTTGACATCTTTGACCTAGGAGGACACTGCAGTTGTTCGATTCAGAATATGCCTCGCCTTGATGTGGCAACTGTGATGCCTCGCCTTGACGTGGCATCCGTGAGCGCTGCTAAATTTGGTTTTCAACCGACTAACAAGTTTCTGAGATCTTTGTCCTCAGTCAGGTGTCTAGATTTGGCTTTGAAAGAGGTAACCATTTTGAACACCCTTCTCTCTTTCTCCTCTTTGTGTTCACATTGCTGCGTTTTACTTATTATGTTGTGTTAATCTATTTCCATCCATTTGCAGGTTGCGTGTTGTAGTGCCATTAACTTCCCTCGGCTCATAGAGTTTATGCTGCGTACATATTATTCAGACAATTGGTTGAAACCACTTATGCTTTTGCTTCACAACGCTCCTAAACTAAAAGCTCTTAAGATAACCTCTGTAAGTACCTCTCTCCGTCTTCGTCGAACAAGTTTTGTTTTTGATGGACTAAATTGTTTATAATTAATCCTCCTTGCTTCTTCTCAGGCTGGGGATGAACACACACTTTCGTGGAACCAACCAAGTTCTGTACCGGGATGCTTGTTATCTCACCTTGAGATCTGTAAATGGAAAAACTTTGGAGGAAGTAGAGAAGAGAAACAATTTTTGGCTTACATCCTCGCAAACTCAAACTGTTTGAAGACGGTGGGAATCTCACTAAGACCTTCCAAGAATGATGAAGAGAAAAATAAAATAATGGAGGACGTAGAATCTATGTATAGGGTTTCAGCATCATCTCAGCTTCTCTTCTAATGATTCGTTATATTTATCATGCATGTTGGCTTCAACCTCAAAACTTTGTATTACTATTTTTCTTCGTCTTTGTATCTTTTAACTTTATTTGCTAACATTTGTAATTTCATTGTGTTTTACCAAATATTTATTTTATGATTCTTATAATGAACTAATGAAGCAGGCGATTGTTGCCTATGAATAAGCATGCAAATGTTCTTAAGCAAATATTGTTAGAGATGAAGAAGAGAGGATCTGTTGACTGTTGGTATGTTTACTTGAAACAGGTTCTTATTACTTTATTAGAGATCAATCAAAACAATATTTCATTACTGTTTTAACCAAAAGATGATGATAGTTTTTTCATGCTTTTATTAAATCAGACATCAGAAATTATGTTCTGCAGGGAGACCAATCTTTGGTCCTGAAGCATCTTCTCTGTTTCTGATCTTTGGTAATGCATATGGCAACCCTTTCTTCAATTATATATCTCCTTAATTTTCTGATTCATTATATCACAGTCTTGGTTAGTAAAAAAAAACAGATGCAGAATCCTTTTTGATCCCCACTTTAACACTCAACCTTCATAATTTGAATATTTTTTTCTTCACATTGATGTCAATTACATTGTGTTTTGGTATGAACCATTTTGTAGCGACTCACAGAATGTAACTGTTCTTCATCTAGTCCATATCTTCAATTTAGCATTGTTGTGCTCATATGTGTTTATTAGTGCTCTTGCGAAATACCAGGTAAATATTTTTACCTTGAGAAGTTCTTTGGTCTCTTTAAACATAGAACATACCTTAACGAGTCTAAGCTTGTCTTAGCCGTAGGAATTTTCTGTTTTGTATTTGCAGAGAAGACATGAGATTCTTCTATATCAATATGGTTAAAAGACTAATACTTGCAAGCAAAGGTAATAAAAGAATGTATTCCTGGCCAATATTAAACATATTTGGAGTTTCAAATTTCCTTATAAATAAACACTTATCTTGCCACGAAAATATATTTGAGTCTCTCTACTTCAATAAATAATTAGGGCTAATCTTTTTTTACGACGAGTAGCAAAAGAATCTAGGGTCCTCCCTCACCTTATCTCATAGCGTTTCGTTGATTCGTTTTGTTCTCGACAAAATTATCATAAGAGATGCTATCAGAAGCGGGGATTTGTCGGAAAAACGACAGGATCAGTGCGTTGCCTGACGATCTACTGTTGCAGATACTGTGTCTAATCCCAACAAAAGATGCGATGACCACCATGATTTTGTCGAAACGATGGCGTTTTGTCTGGACGATGTTGCCTAAACTCGACTACGCAGATGGCTACGAAGACGAGAAGAGCAACCCCGAGAAAAGTGTTTGGGACTTCCTTGACAAGTCATTACAACTCCACAAGGCACCTTCACTAGAAAGCTTGCGTATCAATCTGGGACAACAATGTCCGGTTGATGTGGACGTCGGAAAGTGGGTCTTAAATGCGGTTGACCGTTTCGTTCGAGAGCTAATTCTACAGATTAGATTTATACCAACAGCAGATCCTACCAGCTTGCCTAAGAGCCTTTACACCTGCAAAACGCTTGTGAAATTGACTCTATCTGGCAAGATTTTTGTTGATGTTCCTTCATCGGCTTGCCTACCGTCCCTTGAATCTCTTGTCCTTGTTTCTGTGGTGTATAAAGACGAAGATTCTCAGGTTAGGCTTTTATCGAGTTGCCCTGTTCTCAGAAATTTGTTTGTGTTCCGATATAAGCCTGACAATGTGACAAGGTTCTTTGTAAAACTTCCTTCTTTACGGAAGTTGACGTATACGGATTTGGCATCACGTGACAGTATTGATGAGTCTGATAGGTCCTTGGTTTCAGATTCTCCGGGCTTAAATTACGTTTACATCTTTGACACAGGAGGAGACGATTGTACGATTCAGAATATGCCTCACCTTGATGTGGCAATTTTGTTAGTTGGTTCTTACCCGACTAACAAGTTTCTGAGATCTCTGTCCTCAGTCAGGTGTCTAGATTTGTCTTTGAATGAGGTAACCATTTAGAACACCCTTCTCTCTTTCTCCTCTTTGTACTCATCACATTGCTGCGTTTTACTTATTATGTTTGTGTTAACCTATTTCCATCCCACATTGCAGGTTGCGTGTTGTAGTGCCATTAACTTCCCTCGGCTCATAGAGTTTAAGCTGCATACAGGTTTTTCAGACAATTGGTTGGAACCATTTATGCTTTTGCTTCATAACGCTCCTAAACTAAAAGCTCTTATGATAACCTCTGTAAGTACCTCTCACTACAGGAAATGTGGGTATTGATAGCACTAAAAAATAACGGTTTTTATGTCTCTGCTATGTTTGACTTGATCGTGATTTAAAGATAGCGTTTTTTGAATTGTAAACGCTATAGATGATTTAAGCGGGACATGCTGAAATTGGCGCAGCCAATTTTCGGGTTACTAAAGTTTAATTCCCGCTATTGAATCTGTTAAGAGGGAAAAATGTGAAATTTTGGCTAAGGCAAAATAAATTAAAACAAGAAACATCACTTTTTCATTTTTTTCTTAAGGCAAAATAAACTTCTTCTCTCTCGATTTCTCACAGTCAACAACACATCTCACTTGATTTCACTCGAATTCTCCAATCTGCAACTCAATCTCAGTCGATATCTTTCGATTTCTCTCGATCTCCAACAGGTATGTTCATATTCAATCGTAGCAAATCTATCTTCGTCTCGTTCTCTGAATGTCAATCTCGATCCTCTTATGTGTAGTCTCAATCTGTATCAATTTCTCGTTCAATTCAGCATCTCGTTCGATTCAGTCTCTATTGTTTTTTCTTAATCTCAGTCTAGTACTTCGATCTCTGTCTCAATCCTTCATTGTCACTTTTCATCGATCTTCATCCGTGTAAGTCGAATTTGACATTTACGGTGACATTGTGTTTGGGTTTTGGGTATTTGTCTCATGTAAAGTTTTAATTTACATCGATGAATTTTTTCTTTTGCAGGAAGAGCTTGGTGAAACTTCTGTTGAAGGTTTATGAGTTTCATTTTGATATATCAATTTTAATGTTTTGGTAAATAATTGATATCTAATTGATCTCTATGTGACTGTTCTTGACTTCTTGCAACTGAGTTACGCTCATGAGAATAACTGAGTTACATGTTTTGGCAAGATGTCGCTTGCTTGTGATCTTGTGGTGTCATCCAGGTAAAAATACACCGGTTGTGGTACTTCCATTTGTACTTCGTTTGTATAGCTTCCACATTTACATGTTGCTGTTTTTTTTATCTTTATTGCAGGAAGTGGAGATGTGATTGCCCGCTCATCACAACCTTTATTTGGTTTGATGATGAACATGAGGAGGTATATCAAAGTTATTTTATGACCAGATTTTTCATGATAATTTAGTTTCTTATTTGGGTAGGAGAAAAAGATACTCGCTTGTTTCATATGTGCAAGGTGGTTAAATACTGATACTTTGTTTTGATCTCATAGGAAGCTTTATATCGTAGATGCACTTTAAGTATGTTCTTAGGTTCTTCTCTTTGGCAAAGTCTGCATTTTTTGTTTTGGACTGTTTTTTTATTAGTGCGATTAACATAGACTTTCATGTTTTTACGGGAAGCAGCAAAGGAACAATGATTGTAGAGGAATGGGATTAGTATTTAGCCATGTTTTGGCAAGTTGTACTGCCGAGTGAAAAAGACACACCTGAGGCTAACTCCGACCACATCCTGTAGATTTTGTAGAATTCAGGTGAAATTTTTCACTCTTAAGATTTGTATAAGATCCATATGCTCTTGTTCAGTTTTCTGATTTTATGAGTTTGTTTATCAGTGGATTGCATTTGATGATGTTTGTTACCATGTTCAGGTGAAATTTTTCACTCTTAAGATTTGTATAAGATCCATATGCTCTTGTTCAGTTTTCTGATTTTATGAGTTTGTTTGATAGGTGACAGTGAAGAATCCAAACCTCTTGTTGCTTGTGGTTTCGTTACCAAATCCACCACCTGAAGCAATGTCCTTTGATGGACTTCCATTAGGAGCTATAGAAGCCTCTCAGAGATCCACGATGGCTATTACAATTAGTTTAAGTGTCGAACACTTTGTGTTTTCTTTTATTACATGCACTTGACTTTGTTTTCTTATGTTACTAATGGCATATGTTTTCTCTTGGTAAAAATATATCTGAGAATGCAAACACAAATACACAAACTTAAAACATCTTAACTGGAAAAAAATTGAATCAATTATTTTATGGCATGTACTTTAGGTTTCAAGTTAAATGATTTTTAGGATTTTAAGATTTTGGTTATGATTTTCGAATTTTGTAAAAAAAAAATAAAGGAAAAAGAAAGAAAAAAAATATAACCAAATATCTCAAAAAGACACAAATATTTAATTATAATATTAATAATTATATAAATAATAACAAAGTTATAATTTTAAAGAGTTTAGGGTATAGGATTTTGGATTATTTGTTTGAAATAGTAATAATATTAATTATAACAAATAATAACATAAATAAAATTCATTTTTAAAAATAGTTTAGGATTTAGGGTTTAGTTTTAGGGTATATGGTTTAGGGTTGGAAGTTCAATCTTGAAACATATTTCACTTTTTATAAATTAACAAAATAAAATGCAATGAAATTATTTTAAAGTAATAATACTTGAGTAAAAAAATCTAAACCCCAAAGTTTAAACCCTAAACCCTAAAATATGCCTTAGTGTTTATGGACATATAAGTTAGATAGTTGGAATACTAACCTATATTAGTTGTTCTTAAATTTAAAATTTTATACTTATAAGAAAAAATATTCTAAAAATTGAAATACTTATATTGAATTTTTATAGAAATAATTTCTATTTTTTTCATTAATAAACTATTTTATATGATAATTTTCTGATTTTTTCATTACTAGCCAATGAGAAGTAACCTCCCAGATTATGGGACGAATCATACACCGTTAGATCGCGCCGATTTTGATCTCAGCCGTCCATTCTTATTGTTGACGCGATTAATGTACACCGTTGATCTGTCTTGATAACTTTGATCTGAGCCGTTCTTTTTCTTAGCCAATGAGCATTAACCTCTGAGATTGAACTTTGGCTTATTCGCCACCATTGATGAATTAAATCCAACGGTTAAGATTTTCTCCTTGTTTTGATTAAAACTTATTCTTCTTTTTGCCTTGACTCTTCGTATCCTTCTCTTATGTGAAAATCAAACAGTTGGCTTCCCGTTCACATCTCCGATCAGTGGAGGTCCTGGAGGATATAGAAGGTGGCGGTGAGGACATCTTCGAATTTCTTTTCCGGCTCGCGAGGCGAAGGTGGCTACTTCTATTGATTCCGAGCTGTTAGAGGACGGAGGCTCAAGGCAGATATCAGTCGTGTATTTGGGTTTATGGGTTCGGTCATCTCCGTGACGGATATTGAGCGGCAGATCTCGCAGCTGAGGGTGGTGACAGCGAAATCAATTCTCCGGTTGCGTCGGTTAAGCTTATGTGGTTAAATCCGGTGTTTTAGATCTGCATTTGTCGGGATTAACGAAATCCGGACAATCTCCGGTGGTTGGGTTAGGTCCGTTGTGGCTGAGGTTGTCGGCAGTTAGCTATTGATGCTTATGATTTGGTTTTTGTTTCAGCCTAAGCAAATTGTTGGGGAGTTATAACATGATAATTGTTTGATTGGCAGCTCCGAGATGGATCGTCGCACCAGGGTACTGTAACATCAATGGAACCGAATGAAGGCACTTTCGTTCTTCACACTGAAAACACTAAGGTAAAGATTCTTACTTTGTTTTATCTTAAACAACAAGTGCAGATGATTGTGATGGGATGGACTAACACATTACCAAACCACGTCATGTGCTTTCTCTATGCGACAGAAAGGAAAAATCAATCCTGTTCATCTTGTTGATGTTCCTGGGCACTCTCGGCTTCGACCCAAGCTTGAAGAATTCTTGCCCCAAGCAGCTGCCATTGTGTTTGTAGTGGATGCCTTGGAGTTCCTCCCAAACTGTCGTGCAGCTTCAGAGTAATTTTAAACCCTCTCTTTCTCTCCCACACACACATACATAAAAGACATGTTTGCATCTCACTCTTGAAAAAAATGTTTTTTCCGGCAATAGGTACCTATATGATATTTTGACCAATGCGAATGTTGTCAAGAACAAGATTTCAGTCCTCCTTTGCTGTAACAAGACAGATAAACTCACTGCACACACCAAGGAGTTTATTCGGAAGCAGATGGAGAAAGAAATGTAAGATTTTCAATTTTCATGGCAAATTATATATAAGCCAATCTTGCTGGATAAAAGCTAATCATCATCATTGGTTAAATGAGTTTATGCAGTGAGAAATTGAGGGCTTCTAGGAGTGCGGTATCTACAGCTGATATAGCGAACGACTTCAGCATTGGAATTGAAGGAGAAGTGTTCTCCTTCTCGCATTGCTACAACAAAGTCACTGTAGCTGAGGCATCTGGACTCACCGGAGAAACCGTCCAGATCCAAGACTTCATTCGAGAATACATCAAGCCTTTAGCTCAAACGTGCATTAATAGATTGAATCTACGACTAGATTCTTATGCCTTTGGTCTGTGACTTTGATTTGAGTTTAGTGATCCTTTTTGTATATGAGTTCTTTGTTTGCTCATTGTGGTTCTAAAAGATAGGAGACAGAGGAGGAAGATGAAGATAGGAGACATAGGGGTAGATGAAGATAGGAGATTTATCGATCTTGTATATTTTTATTGATGTAGTATTTTAATAAAAGGTTTTTGTATATATTTCATGTAATAATGATAATAAAATATTGTATTTTTTATTTTATTTTTGATTTAAATACAATTAAAATAATTAACAAAAATAAAAATATTGTAAAAAATATATATTACTGAAATAATTAATCAAATATAAATATTACAGAAAAAACAAATTATGAAAATAGGTACAACCCAATCATAACGATTATTACACGTTATTATAAATATTAATAATAGCAGCGTCTTAAACGCTATCGTTGTATACTTAACTATTGCACAACGCAAAACCGCTATCAAAAGTGTCCGACTTTCTATAACGGGCGATGTCAGAGCGCTTAAGGAAACGCTATGGTAGATGAATAATTGCGTTTTTCGGCCGCTATTAATACCCACATTTCCTGTAGTGTCTCTCACTCTTCGTCGAACAAGTTTTGTTTTTGATGGACTAAATTGTTTATAATTAATCCTCTTTGTTTCTTCTCAGGATTATCTTCAGGGTCGGGATGATCTCTTCGAGGAGGTCCCACTTTCATGGAATCAACCAAGTTCTGTACCGGGATGCTTGTTGTCTCACCTTGAGATCTTTGAGTGGAAAAACTTTGGAGAAAGTAGAGAAGAGAAACAATTTTTGGCTTACATCCTCGCAAACTCAAACTGTTTGAAGACGGTGGGAATCTCACTAAGACCTTCCAAGAATGATGAAGAGAAAAGGAAAATAATGGAGGACGTAGAATCTATGTATAGGGTTTCAGCATCATCTCAGCTTCTTTTTTCTGCTGAATTCCGATGGAGATATTATAGAGAAGCAGAGAAATCGGGTTTATTTTGTTCCTTATTCTAACGATTCATTATATTATCATGTTGGCTTCAACCTCAAAACTTAGTATTTACTGGATGTCTATATTCTCTTCTTCTTCTTCTTCTTCTTTGTTTTTTTTTGGTATGTACAACTTTAATTTCTCACATTTGTTTTCTGTCTTTTTCCAAATATTTATTTTTATGATATTTATGATGAACTAATGAAGCAGGCGATTGTTTTCTATGAATCATGAGCATGGAAATGTTCGTTAGCAAATATTGTTTGAGATTAAGAAGAGAGGATTTGTTGGTATCTTTACTTGAAAATGATTCTTATTAGAGATCAATCAGAAAGGTACAAACCTTCATTGTTGTTTCAACCAAAAGATGATGATAATCTTGATGACATATGATCTTTTTCATGCTTTTGTTACATCAGAAATTATGTCCTGGAGGGAGATCGATATTTTTTGGCCTTGAAGCATTTTCTCTGTTTCTGAGGTATGGTACCGCATATAACAACCCATTCTTCAATTATTTCGTCCTAATTTCCTTATTTTTGTGCTCATGTATTTGGTTTCCTTAGAGGGTGTTATACAAGGCACAAGCCTAAAATGTGAGAATCAAAATATCAAAGGGATCTTCCTATCTCTAAAGTCCAAGAAGAATACCAAATGGTCTTCCCACAAATATATGGAATAGGCCCAATAGTCACCAAACAATTACCAAACAATTTTGCGAGAGAAAATTGAATCAAATTAGGGTTTTCTTTCTTGACAGAAGTGTTAAAAGGGCCTAGGGTTCTGGCTCACCTGATCTCATTGTGTTCGCTATTTCCCATTTTTTCTAGAAAAAAAAGATCTTAAGAGATGCCAACAGAAGCCTGGATCTGTGCGCTGCCTGACGATTTGCTGGTGCAGATACTGTGTCTAATCCCAACAAAAGATGCGGTGACCACCATGATTTTATCGAAACGATGGCGTTTTGTCTGGACGATGTTGCCTAAACTCGACTACAAAGAAAACTTCGAAGACGAGACTAGCGTTTGGGACTTCCTTGACAAGTCACTGCAACTACACAAGGCACCTTCACTAGAAAGACTGCGTATCCATCTGGGAAAACAATGTCCTGTTGATGTTGATGTCGGAAAGTGGGTCTTAAATGCGGTTGAACGTTTCGTTCGAGAGCTAATTCTAGAGATAAGATTTATACCAACCGCAGATCCTACCAGCTTGCCTAAGAGCCTTTACACCTGCAAAGCTCTTGTGAAGTTGACTCTAACACACAAGATTCTCGTTGATGTTCCTTCTCTACCTTGCCTCCCATCCCTTAAATCGCTGGCTCTTGTCTCTGTGGTGTATAAAGACCAAGGTTCTCATGTTAGGCTTTTATCGAGTTGCCCTGTTCTCAGATATTTGTGTGTGGTCCGAAATAAGAGTGACAATGTGACAAAGTTCATTGTGAAACTTCCTTCTTTACGGAGTTTGGGGTATATGGATGATGGTTATGGTAGGTCATTGGTTATAGATTCCCCGGGATTAAAATACCTTAGAATCATTGACCACCCTTTAGGAAACAATATCTCGATCCAGAATATGCCATGCCTTTTATCGGCCGTGGTTTTCCGTACTCACGTGAAAGACAAGTTTCTGACATCCTTGTCATCTGTCACGTGTCTCAATTTGGCTAATATCAAGGTAAACCAACCATTTTGATATCCTTCTCTCGTAATATTTGTTCTTTTCTTTGTGATCGTTTTAATTACTTATGTTGTGTCTTGTTTCGTTCAATTGCAGGTTGCGTGTTGTAGCACCATTAACTTCTCTCGGCTCAGAAAGTTTCAGTTGTATCCTTCTTCCTCAGAGCATTGTTGGATGGAGACACTTGTGCTTTTGCTTCATAGTGCTCCTAAACTAAAAGCTCTTATTATCAACACTGTACGTACCTCTCCCTCTTCGTGAAACAAGGTTTGATTTTGATGTACGTAGTTGAACTTATTATATTAAACGTGTTTAATTATAATTCTTCCTTCCTAGGCTTTTGATGGTCGTCATGGAGAAGTCCCACTTTCTTGGAACCAACCAAGTTCTGTACCGGGATGCTTGTTGTCTCGCCTTGACAACTTTGAGTGGATAGACTTTGGAGGATCAAGAGAAGAGAAACAATTTGTCGCTTACATCCTCGAAAACTCTAAGTGTTTGAAGACGGTGGGAATCTCATTGAAATATTCCAAGAATAATGAAGAGAAAAAGAAGATAATGGAGGACTTGGAATCGATGTATAGGGTTTCAGCATCATCTCAGCTTCTGCTTAGATCATGAAAAATGAGCACTATACAGCAGGAAGAAGATTCACTACGTTCCTTGTAATGATTCATCATATTATCATGTCGGGTACTCAACCTCAAAACCCCATTTCGTAGATCTTGATTCTACAAATCCTGGAAGACAACTACTTACTTGATGATAAAATTCTTCTTGATCTCTATCACGCTAATTTTCTAGCTTTGTAATTGTTTTCGTGGTATTTTGCTAATTCTTCATTTTATGATTCTTATGATATGCAGGCGACTGATGGTCTGTCTATCATAAATAGATGCACATGTTCTAATCAAGCAAGTATGGTTTTGAGATATCAAATGATTTTTACTTTTTTTTTGGTATCTTTGCAAGGAACGGATCAATTTCAAACATTAATCCGATTGTTAAAAACTTTTTTCAATGTTGTTCAACCAAAAGATGATGATATTAATGACATAGGATTCTTCTATTTCATTTTTGACAACATGATCCTTCTTTTTAATATGTTTTAGTTTCACAATTTTGAATAATTATTATTATTGAATACTGTTCTTGTCTTTGCTTGCAAGTGAACCCAAAATTGGGCATTCAAATTTCTCCAATTACATAATTATTTATTGACAATGACATGCTAACAGTATCACCTATTTAAAATGTTGTAAGTAACTTTTATAATATAGAAGTATAGAACAAGACTGAATATAAGAATTAAGAAATATGTAAGCCAAGTATACAAGTTTTTATTGCCAAAAGATTTATAATGTTTTTATGTTTTCAAAGTCCAAACTCATGCACCGAGTCATAACTTATCTATACACTGATCAAAATTTGTAATCACGATAGAACCATAATTTGGAAAGTATTTTTGCAGAGTCTTCTCTCCTTATCTTGCTCAGGGTCTTCCTCAAAGATTAATTGATTTTGGTTTATTAATTTAGTGTCAAATCCAATTATTTTATATAATGATTTAGGGTGTGGAAACACCTTGTCCCATTGGTTGAACAAGGGTTAATTAATGTTTCTACACCCAAAGGTCTGGGGTTCGAGTCCCAGATACTGCGATTTATTAATAAATTTGCAGATTATTGGAGGCAAGTGTGCAGGAGATCTCCAGCGATGTACAATTATAGCCGTTCGCCAGGATTCTACGCAGAGAGGGAAGTGTCCATCAAAAGCATAAAGAAGGAGGTGAAGGAGGTGAGTATGAAGAAGAAGGTGAAGAAGGTATCGTCTGTCGTGGAACTAATTAGGGTCGGAAGAAATTGTCCGTTGTAGAATCGTCTATGTAACAATGTAATAAATAATAAATCCAGACATTAAAAAAAAAATATTGATTTAGGGTATATTCCAATTAAAGAAAAAGGCAATCAAAAGAAAGGATCAAACCAACCAGTTGAAGTGGTTCAGGTTCACTTCATCGATTCTAAAGTGGACAACACGCGCCAAAGTTAGCGTCGGTCGAGTCTTGACATGATTGAAATCTCCCGAAAAACTATATGTAATAAAATCAGAACTCAAATAAATGTAAGTTATTGTAGATTTGGTAAGTACTCTCATCGTAAATCAGAGATTGAAAAAGCTGAGAGAGTACACCCAAAAAAAAAAAAGCTAAGAAGAGAAAAAAAAAAGAAAGAAAAAGAAGATCCACCTCGAACTTCTCTCCATCTTTCTCAATCATCATCTAATTCTCAGATTCCGTTTCTTTCTTCCTTTTTCCTCTTCCTCTTCAAGCCACAAAGACTCATAAAAATCTAACCTTTTTTCTCATTCTCTCTGTTAAATTTTCCGGGAAAGTTTGTTCCTTTTTCTCCAGATCGAATTCTCTAATTCTCATCTCACTGAATCTGTTACTTTCTCTATAATCTAATCTTCAAATGTTTCTGGGTTTGTGAAATCAACACTTAAAAACTCGAGCTTTTTACCTCCTCTGTTTTTTTGAAGATAATGAGAGAAGACGATTCAGACTGGTTCGCAAGATGGGAAGAGGAACTTCCATCACCAGAAGAGCTCATGCCAATTTCTCAATCTCTAATCTCACCCGATCTAGCTCTAGCCTTCGATATACGAAGCCCAAATCACGGAAACGGAAACTCAAATCAACCCCATCATCACCAAACCACACCTCCTACACCATCTCAGCTTCAGCTTCCATCTTCACAAGCCAATTCCTCAGCCGAATTCGCTGCAGATTCAGCAGATCTAGGCTCAGGAGCTGCCGGAGATGAACCTGCACGAACCTTAAAACGACCGCGTCTTGTCTGGACACCGCAGCTTCATAAACGTTTCGTTGATGCTGTTGCGCATTTAGGGATTAAGAACGCTGTTCCTAAAACGATTATGCAGCTTATGAGTGTTGATGGTTTAACTAGAGAAAACGTTGCGAGTCATTTGCAAAAGTATAGACTTTATCTTAAGAGAATGCAAGGTTTGTCTTCTGGTGGTGGAGCTGGTTCAGATCCGGCTACTGATCGTCTCTTCGCTAGCTCTCCGGTTCCTGCTCATTTTCTTCATCCTAATCGTGTTCCCAGTTCTGATCATTTCATGCCGTCTTTTGTTCCCATTGCTACTCTTCAACAACAACAACAAATGGCTGCTGCGGCTGCCGCGGCTGCAGCAGCGGCTAATCCTCATTTACAACCGCCTCAGTTCCACCGACAAATCGCAGCTGCGCATTTTGGCTCGCCGACAAACGGTGGATTCAGTTCACCGACGAATGGTCAATTTGGATCACCGGCTAGTAATGGGTTTGGATCACCGACGGCGAATGGGAAGTTTGATCCTTCGTTCTTGGCGGTGAGGCAAACGCCGCAGCAGCAGCAGCAACCAATTCACAGAATGTCTACACCATCATTGCATAGTCCAGTTGGTAATTACGTTGAGGATTTGGAATCTGCAAACGCTAATGGAGGGAGAACTGTCCTAACTTTATTCCCAACTCGAGACGATTGAAAGTCAAAATCTTTCCGGTAATATAACACTTCATCAGGATTCTGATTCTTGACCCTTTTGTCTTTGTAAAACCATAGTTTGCAATGTTGATCCAAATTTGAAGTTCTCTGAGGTTAATAAATGGTGGTAAATTTGATTCCTTTATAGGTTCAAAATGTCTCTACAGTCATCAAGAACATTGATTTGAGTCTGCTGATCTTTCTTGGCATCGGGTATTATCTGGTGGCGATCAAGTTATGTATCTGAAGCGGTCTTTCAAGTAAAGATGAGAGTATTAACCCTTGTAGCTTTCTTCTATAAGATTTCATGTAAAGATGAGTTTACTTTTGTACATCCGTACGGACAAACTCAAGATTGGAAAAAGAATTGATCTTGATGAAACAAAAAAGAAAAAAAAAAACTCTCATGTTGTTGCCTTTTGTTGTAGATTTGTTCTTAAAGCTGAGTTTGCTTGTAGCATTTTACACTGAAAGTATATTGGAATTGCTAAAACTGGTCATTCCCTTTTTACTAGCTTGTTCTAAGGTTTGTGATTGATCAATGATGCAATAGTACAATGTGAAAAATGACATGAAGGAGACCAATAACCAAAAGAGACAAAGACAATGGGAAGGCAGAATCAGAATGAAGCGGATCTGATGCTCTTACATTCTTCTTAATCATACCCCAACTTATTCACTACCAATTTTAATAAAGTCGCATACTATATGGAATCATTGAAGGGACCAAACCCCAAATAAAGTATACAGATTTTTTTAGCTTTTATAATGAAAGTTTAATTATTTAGGAGATGAGTGATTTAAAGCAATGGTGGTGGGTTCATAGCTGGCATGTCCTGATCCTGTCTCTCCCAAGTCTGACCCCATCCTTCTGTTTTCCTTTAAAAAAAAATGTAAATTAAAGAGTTTTTGTTGAACTCGTTCATCGTTATATTAAATCTCTTTTACGGTTATTCACGTAAAGAGTGTGTATTTCGATTTACTCTAATCTCTTGATTGGTTTTTTTTCCTATAAGTCTAATCTTAAATATTAAATCCAAAAATAATTGTTAATTACCGCAACCCAAATTTATCCGGAAGTCTGTAATCCAATCTTGTGATTTGAGACCATCGGTCAAAGAAGTGATATATTATTCGTTTAGGAATTTTGGGAAAGTGTCTACGTCTCTAGAAACTTAGAAAAGGACCCTCCAAGTCTTCGCCACCTCGTATCTATACTATTAATTGGGAATCATTAAAACATAAGTAACCCTATTTTGGTAGAATATTTACAAATACCATTGAAAATTTGAATATAAAGAAACAAAAAAAATTCACGTGGAAGGGTAGAAAATTTTTTCCCATTTTAAGAAACACGCGGATCTTGGATCTTCAATCGGATCTTCTAATATTACAAACAAAACAACACGCGGATCTATATTTGCTGAGTTGGATGATCCGAATAACAGTCCCTCTCAATATTAATGGGTTGGATGACATTTTAGATGGGCTTCATATTTGACAAATGGGCTTCGCCGACTATCACAACCTCACAATTAATTCCAATATTGTTTGAGATACTCTGGATATTAATGACACATAAACAAAATGGTTAGTTATCATTCAAAAAGATTTCCATAACAAACAAAATCATTCAATATCCATAACTACATAAATTTCAACAGATTTCCATAACAAACAAATCCTCGACAATCTTTTTAGCCCAATTTATCATAATCACGATTTCCCAATTTATATCTAAACAAATTATTTATCTTAACAAAAAAATTCAATTACCAAACTCTATTAAAAACTAGATATTGATATATGTTTAAATCGAGAATATACCCTAAAATTCGAGCATCTACCTTATACGTTTGTTGATTTAATTCTCTAAACCCTAAAATCTTCTTACCTCTCTCAACTCATATAAATAGACGCCTAATGTGAAAGTTCAGAAACACGCTAACCTTTCATAAAAGCATTCTTCACTTTTTACTATTTCGTAACCATGGCTCAAAATCACGGTATCACCACCCTTGCTGATGTGAGACCTTTCAAGACGAATTGGAAGATCCAAGTGAAAATTCCTAGACACAATACATGCAATTCACTGGTGAAACAACAGAAATGATCCTTGCAGATCAGGCTGTAAGTATAGATTATGTGCTTCATTATATCTTAAGATTCTTTACTAATTACAACTAGGATCGGACCCGCGGTCCACCGCGGGAGAATATTGGTTTACATACGTTGCGTTTAATATTGTGTATGTGTTTTTAGTAGAACGAATCGTATAGTATACTTATAAATATTCATAATAACGAATTGTAGAGAAAATGTAAAATTATTTATAAATATACCCATTGTATTAATTATGATTTACAAAATAGAATTTTGTGTTTTAAAATTCTAAAATTAGACGATTCATGGGAATTAGAGCAGTCAAAATAGATCAAAAACCGCGGGTCGAGCCCACATCATCTCACTATGGGGCAGATTTGGGAAAATATATTAAACCCGCAAATAAGCGGGCCACATGGATTAATTCGCAGTGGGTCATAGGTTTAATCGGTTTTCATCCGCGGGTTGGCGGATCAGCCCGCATATTAGTATTTATTGATAAAATTATAATTTATTCAACATGTGGTAATTTAAACAAACTTTTAATAGTATTTTGATTTATTTATTTATTTTAGTAGTATTTTAAATTTTGGTTACTTTAAAATTATTTAAACAAAATCCATGGACAATCCCGCAAATCCGCATACATTCGCGGGACGGGTTTGTATTTCATATATGCTACCTGCGGGTCGTGCGGACCGACTAACTACAAGTCAAAATATTTTTTGTCTATCGCAAAATGGACTTAACGGGACGAATCAACTCGCTTTGACAGTTCTAATGGGAATATTATTTAGTCATACAACAAAATGAAGTTTGGACATAGTAATAATAGAATATGTATCTTATTTGTTAGATGAGAGATCGAAAGATGAAGTATAATGATTAAAAATTAATTATTATTTTTCATGATTTACAAAATTTAATAAATACTTATCATCTTGTTGAATAATTCTAAAATCATATTCAAGAAATTTTTATAAACTGAAAATTAAACTTCTTAAGTAAGCTATCGGTATCATAATTTCGATTTAATCTAATTAAATTAAAATTAGTTACATGGATTTCATCTCTATCTAATTTACACGACCAAAATAAAAATATCTATTTAATTTACACGACCAAAATAAAAATATCAATTTAATTTATAAAACAGATGGGTTATTTGTGATAAATTTTCTAGAAATCTTTAGAAGCAAGTAAAATATCTTTCAATTAATGATAATTGGCTAACATGAGCGAAATTAATGACAAAAACGTTGATTGTTATGGAATTAGTCCCAAAAATATATGAACAAATTTATTATACGTAATTAATATATAATATTGTTTGGAATATGCTTTTATTATTAGTTACCATAAGTACAATAAGATTTTATTTGATTTCCATAAATATTTGATTTTATTTCGATTTTTCTTTATTAATTCGAATTTATATTCCAAAAAAATTTCAAAGATCCGATTTCAGAATTTCGGGTCAATTTTCTGATTTTAACCCGACCCATTTTCATTTGTACTTCTCTTTTAATAGTATAGAGATAATAATAACTATGTTGTTATCTTCTATATAGGAAAGTTGTGATGTTTAATAATAATCATTCAAAAACTTATCTCTTTGGTTTCTCTTCTCTTGAAAACACATAAGAATGTCTGTAACAATCTGCAATTATTATATAAACAAAATTAATTAGATCTATTTCCAGGTTTCAAAATATAGTGAACATCGCAAAATATAGATTCCAAATTGAATAAAATTAATATCTGTAATCATGATTTGTATAGAGACAGGATGATTCTTTAGCTAACGTTTCAAAGAAAACGAAATGAGATGTATCAGTTGCTATGTAATCTAGATATAATAAAGATTCAAGCGGTCTCTACCAAAAGCTTTTAAAATAACGTACAACATCAGTCTCAATAGCAGACTTCTCTGCTTCTATTTCTTCAATAGTTTGAAAAGCTTATCACCAATCTGGAATTTCCAAACAAGATCATTCGGGTTAGAGAAATAAACAAACCCTAAAACTCCACATTGGTTTTCTAATGAGTGGAACCTGCCTCTTCTGTAGAGACCGCTTGACAACGGGGCCACCGGAGAGAGTGACGGCAGCACCGAGCGGAAGCTTGTCGGTCTTTAACGAACATGCAATTAAGCGTGTAGAGGGACATCTCGCCGTATCGATTATCCTCAAACACGAATCTATGCAAGGTATAGAGAACATTACTCAACAACGATTTAGAGCCAAATAGATAAGCCAGGACAGTGAAGAAACACAAAAAAAAACATCCTCAGAACAAATTGACAAATTTACAACACTTAAAACAAAATAAAGACAAACCTCTTTTCCGATTGAACAATTACATCTCCAAAAAGTATAAACAAAGACGAATTATATGGAATCTGTGAGAATTTTGCAAAAGAATCGTCGATACCGACAAGATTTTTTTTAATAACATCTGTAATTTTTTTTTGTTTTATCAGACATCGATTCCGATGTTGAAGATTGTAATACAAACAAATCTCACGTAATGGGTCAAATATGTAGTAGGCCCATCTTTAATAGGTATATAAATCTCCTTCGGCCCAACATGGTTTTCTGTGACCCATAACAAAATATTTCTGTTTCAGGTAATCGCCCATTGAATTAAGTTTTGACTTTAGTATTAAACATATTATGCTAAGTGTATAATTAAACTATTTATTTTATTATATAACACATTTTTATTATGACAAATGTTGCATCTTTTAGTAAATACACTTTTCTGCAGAATGTATAATTAATCAAACTGAAAATAAATGTGTGTAATATTTTCACTAAAGATTGATATTTTCACTATTAATTACATAAAACAAAACAATACATTTAAATTACAACTTTATGTAAATCCTATCGATTCAAAATAACAACCCGCACGATCTAGTTTGTATGTAACATAAAAAACAATTAAAGGTGAATACTATATAGTCAATCATTTCCCATTTTAAAAAAAATCTCATTTAAGAATCGAGTTCCAATTTCCTTTGAACAATTTGGTTCACCATAAGAAGAAAAGCCATCATTAAAGATTTGGTTTCTGTATCGTCGTCTCTAGGGCTCATTCAAAGCTCGATAATAAAATAATTCAAGATAAAAAAACAAGGTAGATGTTTTGTTATATAAGAAAGAAGTAGCCATTGTTCGGAACAGAACAGGGAGCTCCTAAAGGCTAATATCTATAGAATCTGCTTTTCATTACAGACATTGAATACTCGAACACTAGTCTTGCGGTCAGGGATTACTTGCAGAAGGATGCCTGCAGTGCAAATGACGAGTTAGCATACACTATATTTGCGATAATCAATCAAATGGCGAATTGAACAAGAGTTTAGTATCAGCAAACCTGAAAAGATTTGTGTCTGAGCCGTTCAACGGCTGTGCATAGTTCATAGCAGGTGAGTTTGGCCACGGTGTATATGAAGCCGCGTTATGAGTAAAGGGACTCAAAGCAGGGTTAAGCGGATGCCCATAGTTTAGGTTGGCTTGATGACCTCTTGGCATCTGCGGGAAAACCCCATCGTGAAACGGAATGTGGATTGGTATTGGACTGAAGCTTTGGCCAGACGGCATAACCCTGACGTACCTACAAACAAGAAAATGACCTTTATATTCCAGAGTGTACACCAATTAGTTTTGTTGAATATCACCATAATAGAGATTGAAAGGTTTACCTGTAGGCGGGATCTACGACATACCTGTCATAGCTCCTATCATAATCCGGGTCATATCGATCTTTCTCTCTATCTCTGATAATGGCTACTCGAGAAGTCCGTCCAGAGTCTCGAGTAACAGCATCAACAGGATCATTATTAACCGCCACTTCAGTCTCATTCCGGTTTATACATGTGTTTTTCACTTCAAGAGGGGGAGGTCGTAGTGATGAAGAATCTTCAGAGTCGGAGCTGCTAGGGCTGTTAAAGATCCGAGCCCGGGCTTTATCATACTCTTCCTTTCTCTCCTCAACACTTCTCAAAAGATTCTGTTGTACTCCCGATCCGCTACCCCCACAACCAGATCCTCTCTTGGGTCTAGGCTTGATAGCGATTTTGAAACCCTCGGGTCTACCATTCTCAGGTTGTTTCACAGGGATTTCGGATAAGCAGACATAAGGAAATCTACTCTCCGCTGTCTTAGTCACCAGGATTCTGTTCTCGGATCCATCACCAGCACCAGTACCATTGTCCAAAGCCATGGTTACTAGTCCATAATGCTGAGCAACTCGATGTGCAGCAAGACGCAGGTACGATGTTGGAAAAGGCCGGAATTCGAACTGAAGCTGCTCAGGGTTTTGAAAGAACTTCTGTATATCAAGCTCCATCCGCAAAACTAAAAACACACACACCAACCAACAAATAAAGAGGCAACCTTTTTATCACCCATCAACCACATTTAAGAGAATCTTTCCAGATGCGGAAATTAAACTTAAACATAAAAAAAAATGTTGAAACTTGAAGACAAGATACTTATATATATGCGCAAATCAGCTTAGAGAGGATCAAATGAGACAAAAGGTAATTCAAATTAGACAAGCTTCAATGTTCAATCATGAGGATTCTGATTGAGCTAAGAATACAAGTGATTATGATTTGGGTCATTGAGTAAAGGGAATTGTTAATTAGTCATGGATCTAATCAAACCCTAATCAATCACCACAACATAAACTATAATTGAACGAAACACAAGATCGAGAATAAGAGAAACTCGTAATTGTCCCCCAATTCTATGAAACCCTAGCACGAAATGAAATGACCAAAATCAGATCAAACCCAACAGAGAGAAAGCAAAATCGAAAATTGACTAACTGGTGAGACGATGACGAGGATTCTGAAGAGCTTCGACCAGAAAAGGATCCACCATAGCTTCCTTCTCTGTCATAGCAGCCATAGATGAAGAAAAAGCTTCGTATCTCTCCTTCTCTGCTTTGTCTTATAAATTCTCGATCTTTGATTTGTCTCTTCACCGGAGATTAGAAGAGACAACACATCAAGGAAACAAAAAGGAGATAATTTCTGATGAGCATTTTCTGAGAGAGACGCGAAACGATGAGGGTGAAGGAGATGAAAAGACTTTCTCGACCTTTCTCTCTCTCTCTCAAATCGCAATCAAGTGGGGAAGAGAATAAAAACAGAGTTGCTTCCTTTTTTTTTTGGGTTAATTTGTCGGACTTTTGAAATATTATTTATATGTTAGTAAATTAGTGGGTTGATTTGGTGGAATCATAAAGTATTAAATTTTTTACACTATTCTATACTTTTGGTTGGTGTCACATTTCATTTTTTCATGGTGCGTACGGCGTTATGTACAATTTTGTCAAACAAATATCAATGCACCGAAAAACAAAGTATCTTCTCCTTAAGTACAAATTAGCGTGGAAAATGTTACAGTGTCATCTTGTCATTGAATAGGAGCAGTTAATCTCGAACGTTACGTAAATCGTAATCTACTTAATAATCTTAAATTCATGATATGGTCTAAACTAAAGCTACTAATTCATGGCTTGATCTACTATGTTTTGTGGTTTGTGGTCAATTCTCTCAAATATTTTTTCATTAGTATAAATTTCCAGATGAGACACGGCTATAATCAATCCATTGGAGATTTGGAATGCCTAAAAATCCTTTTAGTATGTGTGTTGACATAAAAGAGGAAGAATTTAAAATAAAATTTATTTCAAGAACATTTAATGTGAAAATATTTTTGTTGGATTTACTTCCTTATATAGATGATATTGCTGGTCAAAATTAAACGTAGTTTCCATAAAAGTAAATACTCCAAAAACGGCTCCGGTCGAGACCAAGGCGCGTGGACGATCTTCACCACATCCTACATGGCCTTTACTGATTGGATACAAAAATGGCTTTAACTCCACGCGCCACTGTCTTAAAACCTTCTCTTGCTTAATAACCTTAAACTTGTTCCTCTTTTTTTTTGGGGGTTTTCAATAACCTTAAACTCACCTCTCTCTCAAAAATGGCGATCTCACCCGTACTATTCATTGGTTTGATGTGCCTCGCAGGCGGTGGCTCTATTTTTCCGGCGGTGGAGGCAATATGGTTAACGGTTCCAACTTCAGGAGAGAGATGCGTCTACGAAGACATCCAAGCCAACGTGGTCGTTGTCCTCGATTACATTTGCATCGACGAGTCTTTCACTCAACTTGGTCCAACATTAGATGTTCGGGTTTGTATACTAACCATACTCCATTTTTCTTCGTAAATTTTCATGCATCAGGGAAATTTCGTTACATGTGGTCAAACGTTATATATATGAGATAGAGTGAATTAGACTATTAGTTATGATAATGATAAATAGGTTTAGATAAACAAGAAATTCAGAGTTGGGATCGAAAATCAACATTGAACTGGTGATAGATTTGTAAAAAAAATCAACTAGTTAACCACAAAATTCTCATGAACTACTACCAAGAGATTTTGGATTGATAGATTGAAAAAATAAGGGTTTGGTTTATAAATGTTGTCTATAGTTGGAGTTAAAGTAAGATAAATTTGTGTGTCTTGATATGCCTTGGTTTAATTTATAGGTAACATCTCCGTATGGTAAGGAACTATACAAGATAGCAAACGTGACTCACGGTCAGGCTGCCTTTACAACGAGCGAGAGTGGAACATTCTTAGCTTGTTTAGCAATGCATCACGACCAGACACATCACTCAGTCAATAACTCTGTTATCGTCAGTCTTGATTGGAAGATGGGTATCAGAGCCAAAGACTGGGATTCTGTTGCCAAGAAAGAAAAGATCGAGGCAAGTCCTTCATTTCCAATTCATATATATGTATGATTACAATAATTTCAAGAAATTAAATACATGTAGTTGAATATATGTATATTGTTACAGGGTGTGGAGCTTGAGATTCGAAAATCTACAGAATACGCAAGTGCTATTAGGGCCAACATACTCTATTTGAGAATCAGGTTCTTAATAATTTTCATCTCAAATCGTAAGTATAAATGACGATGTAGATTATGAAGATTTCTCTCCTAAAAATGGTGCAGGGAAGCATATATGAGGGAAATAAACGAGAAGACAAACCAGAGGGTAGCTCAGCTCGGCTTTATGTCTTTCGGACTAGCTTTTGGCGTTTCACTTATTCAAGTTTGGCATCTCAAACGCTTCTTCCTCAAAAAGAAGCTTCTTTAACTTTTATTCTCTACTATTGTTTTAGAAAATATTGCAGTCTTGTGGCTCTTTTGGGGGTAACTATATATAGTCATACCAAATCAATAAAGAAACACATGCTTTTGTGCATGATAGTATTTTTATCTACTGATCACAAGAAACTTTATACAATCTTCTAAGAATTATTTATGCATTCGTCTATATATCTATAGACAAAGAATATCATCAATACATGAATGTCCATCTAATTTATCTATCACCGTTAAATATTTCACAAATGAGACTTAATTGGTACACCGTTTACAAAGTATTTTGCTAATGAATGTCAAAGGCAAATGATGATCATGATTGGCGTTATTAGGTCATTTTGGGACTTCAATGTCCAACGCCAGTTTAAAAGTAGGATCAATAATGGCAAAACTGTTAACATTACAAGACAAGATCATGTGGCTACGATTCTTCGGAATGCCTTTCAAGCTTCTATGTATACTGTCTGGAAAGAAAGAAACAATCGCCTCCATTCTTCTTGCTCAAGACCAGCGACTGCTCTAATCCTCGAGATTAAAAATCTTATTCGATGTCATTTGGATCATTTGTCTCGAGCTCAAAACTTGGGACGCCACGGCATCTCTTTCCTCGCTTCTTGGTTCGCTTTTTTCAATTCTTAATGTGCTCTTGGTTGTATGTTATGAATTTGCTGTAGGTGTATCTCATTATAGGAGGCACTTTGTATTCCCCTGTCCAAGTTTTCTTGGTTTCTATGAAAGGTATGTTTCAAGGAAAAAAAAAAAAAAAACTGTTAACATTACTAGTGAATTTTTGTACAGTGCTATTAATATTTGTACTGTTATTAGCTTTTGATAATGACCAATATCGCCAACTCTGCGTAGCGGGGACGTAACGCCCATGTTTAGGCTAGTTGCCGAATTGGTTGAGATGTTATTTGAATCTTTCACATATGAATCACTTTGTATGAATTACGGGAAATATTATCTCATATCAAGGACATCGAAGATTAACATTTTAAATGTGTCGAAAAAGAGAAATTTCAGAGAGAGTTTTTAGTTAACGAGGTTCTAAAACGCGGTCTAAACGGTAAATAATATGGGCACCTAATATTGTCCACACGTCTACGAATACATTCAAAAGATATTGAATCTAAATTTTGAGATTTTCTTTATTTCTTTTTGTTTCAAACTAAATTTCTGTTAATCATATTTTTCAACTGAGAATTTAGTAAATTTCATCATTCTAAACTCGTCCACGCGTCTGCGCATACAATTTTAAAGGTATTGAATCTAAAATTTTGAAATTTTACTTTTTACTTTTTGTTTTTTAAAACTAAAATTTGTGTTATTCATACTTTCTAATTGAGAATCTAATAAAGCTCATTGGTATAGACCCTTCCACGCGTCTGCGTATATGATTTAAAAGGTATTGAATCTAAAATTTTGAGATTTTTACTTTTTACATTTTGTTTCCTAAAACTAACATTTATGTTAGTCATACTTTCTAACTGAGAATCTAATATCTCATCGGTCTAGACCCGTCCACGCATCTGCATATACGATAAGGCGCTATGCTCTTGTCCACCATAAAAAGTGAGAAGTTTATCAGCAAATCTCCAAAACCTGTAAAAAGATATTAAGGTTTCAGAGTAAAAACAAAAACCCTGACCAAAAAAAAAAAAAAAAGTAAAAAAAAAAAGGAAAAAACGAGACAGTGAGCGGAACTGAAAACAGCCATGGAGCAGCTTAAGGTGAAAAAGACAATCGGTAACACTTCAAAACGTGTTACAAGGTCCCAAACTTACCCCTTCGAAGGAATAATGCCTCTGAATCTGAAAGAGGAGATTCTCATGAAATTGAAGGCCAAAACCATATCGAAGCTGATCCTCCTTTCGAAGTCATGGTCATCGATAGTCCTTAACAAAGATTTCACCAACATGTACCTGACTCAATCCTTGGCTCGACCACGTCTTCTTTTCTCAATCTACAATCTTGACATAGATGTGCATTTCTTCCACTCTTGCTCTCAAGAGGATCCATCTTCTGATCATCAAAGGGTTAGGTGTTACCCTGATTCGAATTCGGCTAGCTGGTATGACTATTCTCCACCTGTCCGTGGCTTGATCTGCTGTCTAGAAAATCTATATACTAAAGTGGTAATTGGAAATCCTACTACTTGTCAATTTGTAACTTTACCTAGAGTCAGAACTAAGAAGAAAGACATATTCCCAGACATATTCCCCTTTTTGGGATATGATCCTGTTAAGGATGAATACAAAGTCTTGTGCATGACGATAGCAGCCAATCATAAAGGAAATGTTGTGTCCAAGGAACATCAAGTTTTCACTCTAGGAGGTAAAAAGAAGAAATGGAGAATGATCGATTGTGAGATTAATCATTATCTTCCTCCTAGAACTAAAGGGATATGTAGCAATGGGGTTGTGTATTATCTAGCTATGGTCAACCATGTTCAGTCTCTAATGTGCTTTGATGTGGGGTCTGAAAAGTTTAGTGTCGTTAAGTTACCGGGGAAGGTCGGAATTCTAGCGAAGTACGGCGAAAAGATAGCTGTAACGAATTTGTTATTTGACTGTATACGACTTGACGTTTGGATTCTAGAAGATGCCAGCAAACAAGAATGGTCAAATATTTATGTCTTGGTTCCTTCTTGTGTAAATCGATCATTCAGCTTCAGGGGTATACTTGGTACCGGCGAGCTTTTATTTGCACCGGAACCTACGTCTTTTTATTTACTATGTTACGATCTCAAGGAACACAAAGCTAGAAAAATCTGGATCAAAGGACTTGGAGATTATACTAATATTGAAGTCTTTTTGGATCATGTAGAAAATCCTATGGTTCTGTCAAAGATAAGGTAATCGGTTGGTGATTAGTTCTTTGGTGTTGCCTGAACTAATCTCTCTTTCTTTCTTTTTTTTCAAGTTTCAATTAAGTTGTCGGATATTATTTGCTCAAGATTAGCCCTTAGAATTTGATGTTCACCCATTGGTTAGTCTTTTGATCAATGGATTTTTTATGCTTGTGGACTATGGAAATGCAATGTTTATGACTTGATTATAATAATTTCTGGTTTTGTTTGAGCTTTTACAGCTTCGGTTTTCTTATTTGATTTATTACAGCTTCATCTCATAAAGAAATCTTATGTGTAAAAAACACAAAATTAACAACGATTCTGGATTAGAAAAATTACCTCAATATTTAAATTTTAACTCTTTCATCTACATTCATCATACAACACATTGTAACACTATTTGCCCTTCACTATTAATTTCTTAATCCAAGTAAGCAAGCCAATGAGAAGATAGTTTTGTTTGACTAAACAAACACGTGTTCGGAGTTTAATGTACACGCGCTGCGCGTGGATGTAATATAATCTTAATTCTTAAGTATATTCGTCGACGTTGCCTTGTTCCAAAGTTAAAAACCGTGTGGAATCATCGAGAAGCGAAGCCAGAGGAAAATTCGAACGCTCCGACGATGACGGAATCAACATTCGTTATTGCTCCTCCGCCGGAGATACCTAATCTGAACCCTAGCATGTTTTCGGAATCCGATATGATTTCTATTCCGCCGCTAGATCCTCTTTTCCTATCTGATTCTGATCCGATTTCAATGGATGCGCCGATCTCCGATCTCGACTTCTTACTCGACGATGAGAACGGAGATTTTGCTGATTTCGATTTCTCGTTTGAGAATTCTGATGATTTCTTCGATTTCGATTTGGCGGAGCCCGCGGTGGTGATCCCTGAGGAGATCGGGAATAGTCGTTCGAATTTGGACTCATCGGAGAACAGAAGCGGCGATGGAGGTTTAGAAGGACGATCTGATTCTGTTCATTCTCAGGTTTCATCTCAAGGCTCAAAGACTTTTGTGTCCGACACCGTTGACGCATTATCCTCCCCTGAATCAAGCAATCACCAGAAATCTTCTGTCAGCAAGAGGAAGAATGAAAATGGAGACTCCAGTGGCGAATTAAGGAGCTGCAAGTACCAAAAGTCTGATGATAAATCAGTCGCTACGAACAACGAAGGTGATGATGACGACAAGAGGAAGTTGATAAGGCAGATTAGGAACCGTGAAAGTGCTCAGCTTTCGAGGTTGAGGAAGAAGCAACAAACTGAGGAGCTTGAAAGAAAAGTGAAGAGTATGAATGCCACCATTGCTGAATTGAATGGTAAGATTGCTTATGTTATGGCTGAGAATGTAGCTTTAAGGCAACAAATGGCTGTTGCTTCTGGTGCGCCTCCTATGAATCCTTATATGGCTGCACCGCCTTTACCGTATCAATGGATGCCCTATCCGCCTTATCCTGTTAGGGGCTATGGATCACAGACTCCATTGGTTCCCATTCCCAAGTTAAATCCTAAGCCTGTCTCGAGTTGTAGACCGAAGAAGGCAGATAGTAAGAAGAATGAGGGCAAAAGTAAGCTCAAGAAGGTTGCTAGTATTAGTTTTATTGGAATTCTCTTCTTTATGTTCTTGTTTGGTACATTGGTTCCGTTTATGAATGTAAATTATGGAGGAGAAGGTGGAAGCTTTGGCGGTTTGTCTAAATATGATGGTCACCGGTATTACGATGAACATAAGGGGAAGGTTCTAATGGTCGGGGATGGTTCTGATGTTAGAAGAGAAAGTGGGATTTCTGAAGGAAATATACATTCTAGTAGGATAATTCATGGTGAGAGAGATAGTTGTGGAGGAGTAGATTATAATGGTCATCCGAAAGTAGAAGGACGATCAAGTTCATTGAGCAATGCGAGTGATCCTCTGTTTGCTTCACTCTATGTCCCAAGAAACGATGGGCTTGTGAAGATCGATGGGAACTTGATAATTCACTCTGTTTTGGCGAGCGAGAAAGCAACGGCTCTAGGGAAGAAGAATATCACTGAAACAGTCAAAAGTAAAGAACCGGATTTGACCATGCCTGGTGCACTGTCTTCTGCTATAGCTGTTCCGGAGGTAAGAGGAAATGCAGCAATGCTTCCACATTCAACGGCTCTCTCTTCTGAAGGGAAAAGACTTCACCAGTGGTTTCATGAAGGTGGCTCAGGTAATTCTTGTTCTCTATGTAGTTCTACTAAATGGAGTGATCTGGATTTTCAACTCTACATTGCATTCTTTTGCAGGGACACTAATGGATTACAGCATGTGCACCGAGGTTTTCCAGTTTGATATTGCTCCCGGTGCGATAGTCCCATCATCAGTCTCAAACATTTCTGCGGAGCATCTCCAAAATGTCACTACCCACGGCAAGAGAATGAAGAACAGGAGAATTCTCGAGGGACTTCCTGTTTCACTTGTGGCGTCTGAGCTCAATATCACCGGAACCCAGCCGAACAAAGACGCTCAAAACAAGACCTTTCATGGAAACACTAACAAACCCACATCATCATCCTCCATGGTTGTCTCAGTGTTGCTTGATCCAAGAGAGGTCGTCGACTCTGAAAATGACAGAGTGGTGCCCCCAAACCCAAAATCACTTTCCCGGATCTTTGTGGTTGTACTTCTTGACAGTGTCAAGTACGTTACCTACTCATGCGTTCTTCCTCGGTCGGGTCTCCATCTCGTAGCCACCTGATTTGAGCTACTCAGATCTTGACCTTAAGTAGGAGAACATTGACTTGTTTATACATACAGACCTTAATGACTTTTTTCCCTGTGTTGTATAACTTTATGTTCTAAGGTTTTGGATTTTAATTTTGAGATAACCAGAAAGTGAATCCTTGCTTTACCTTGGGCTTTTCCGGTAGCTTTTGGCTGGAAAAATACATTTGCGGCTACAGAACTTTTCTATTTTAGAAGATATAATAATATACAAAAGAAGCTCTTAGAGCATTATATTCAATTGGGATTTAAGTAGAAGGCTGCACCCTTTTGCGCAGCATCATTCTATAACAACTCTTCCGGTTCTGTATCTAGTTTCCATATGAATTCATTTTATACACTTAAAAAGTTTTTGAGTACTCTGTTGATACAGTTTACTAGACATGTTAATGTCGTTATTCATGAAGCCCGGCCACTATCAGCATGAGAAGGACAATCCATGGCAGAGCCGGTAAAACCGCAATCGCTGATGCCAAACACAGAAAGAAGAAGGCTTTTGATTAGAATTGGGAGTCTATGATTTGATATATCTTTGCTAAATTGGAAGACTTTAAGTAGCAACTTACATGAAGAGGACTGCGGTTGAGGATGAGCAGCTTCGTTTGCGTGTGATTCCCTTGGTTCAGTTTTGGGTGGTTGAGCTGCATGGGCAAACACCACATGTGGTAGAGGGGCAGAGATTGGAACTATATGAGACTTGGCTGCAGGAATCGGGGCCGGTGAGTGCAGCTGATGACGTGGTGCCCCAGCAGAAGGAGCAGGCGCAGGTGTGGATGGAAAATGCACGTGTTTCTCCTTGAAATGTACTCTATTCCCTGAGTTGCAGGGTGGAGGTGCAGATGGAGCTCTCCTACGGCTTCTCTGAGGAGCAGGAGAGGCCACAGGTGAAACCTCGGGAGCCATATTCGGGCTAAGATTGTGGTGGTGGTGGTGATGATGGTTGTGATGGTGATGGTGGTGGTGGTGATGGTGGTGATGGTGATGGTGATGGTGATGGTGGTGCTTGGAGTGGGGACTAGGTGAGGGTGATGGAGATTTGGTGCTACTATCACTGCTGTTTGGCAAGAAAGATGAAAGACGAACTTGCTTGACCTTACCAAATATGGTATTATTCAGGCCAAGGTTTTTCGAGCGTGAACCTGTGATTGTATCAGTCAGTTGTTTCAACCTTGGGCTTGAATTTGAAGTCCCGACTCTTAGCAAAACCGATGAGTGAACAGTTGTCGGGGGAGACACGGTCGACCCTTCTGAGTTCGATAAGCTTACATACAAATTCTGCATTCAGACAAAATCCATGGTAACACAATCTAACTCGAGGCATCAACACTTGCTAATGAATGCATAACTTTTAACATGATTCAAAGATTTAGAAAAGAATGTATTGTGATAGATATGACAAACCTCGTATGGTGCGAGATTCAGCCCATTCTTGAGTTGACTAGCAAGGGTATTGAAGTTTATCTGTATCTGGTGAATAGAGTAGTTTAGGGTAAAGTTGAAAACAATCTTGAATTTCTGCAGAGGGAAAACACTTTGCGGTGGAATCACAGTGATTCCTCCTGGAAACTTTAGCACTTCAAAAAGTAAGGTTTCCCCAAACAAGGATTTTGTAAGCTGGAGAGTAGATTGATTTATGAGCACAGATTCGAACATCTCTTTGATAGAACTCAAGGACAGAGGTAAGATTTCTCGGTATCCAGTATCAGGGTCAATTCCAAACACAACCTTTGTTACGTTCAATTCATCTGACGGCTCAACAGCCAGGATAGTTACCTGTTGTTTCATTAGAACCAAGTTAGATCCGAAGAGAGAGACGAGAGGAATCGGAAATAATAATTAAAAGGTTAAGAAAAAGATGAAACATCGTACTTTGATGGAAATGTAGCTCATCTCTTGAAAGATGTCATTCTGAAGCTGCAATGTATTTTCATTAAGAAAAGAAGCCGATCTATTGATGCTAAAACTGGCTAATATAGCATGACCTGCATCGAAATGTGAAAAACAATTAACAAGGAGCCAATATCCTAATAGTGATCAATAACCATAATCTATGACCCTAAAACTTATAAATCAGTATTGATCATCCATTTTTCCTAGTTATTAAAACTTGTAAGAAGATGTCTTCTCTTCACTACTCATGTAAAATTTACAGGTGTCCAAAGTGAAAGCAAAGATAGAGTCACTAAACTTAGAACTCTTGATGAAAGAACACTGAGATATAAACACGCATCACTACTAATGTCAATAACCAACAGTTTCTACTTAAAATGCACCAAAATCTCAAATAGCTTAAACAAGTAACTCTTAAAAAGCTTCACAGATTTATTTCTCCCCATTAACCTAATTCTCCAATCTAAAAGCTTCAAAGAGGAAGCAGTTTTGACTCTTCCCTGACATTAAAGCACAAATCACGGTCAAATCTCATTCCCAAAATAGCTTTGTAATAATTAGTAATTAGCAAATTCAGGACATAGACGATGAAACATAGACCGAGACCAAAGTTAAAGCTATAGAGTAAATTCATTGTCCAAATAGGAAAATAGATTTTTAGCAAAAATTGACACTTTTTAACGAATTCAGAATAAGGAGATTACCTCTAAATCTGGGATCGAGATTCGAATCCTCACGATCCATAGGAAACGGAAGCAACAAAAACAAAGCCGAAAGAAACAAAGAGACTGATAAAAGCAGTACGAAGAAACATTTGAACCCAACGAAGCTTGAGATCCATTTGCAATACCCACACCGAGCATTCCTCTCCGTCGAATCGCCGGTAGCTTCGCCGCCGGCGACACGGAGATTCACATCATCCTCGGTTTTACCCATTGACAAAAAGCAAACTAAGGTTTCAAGCCATAGCAACAAAGAGAAACCCCACCTTCCTCAGCGGTGGGTACACCCATCATTAGCTTCCTCAGCTCAACAAAAGCCCTAATTTCACCAGATTGAGAACGAAAGAGCTAACAAATTTCACAGAAGATGAAGAAATTTCACCTTCGAATTTTGGAGCTTTGGAAATCGAAATCGAGGTTTTTGTTCTTAATTCCTTACCCAAAACAAAGCTTGATTTTAAAAACACACAACAAAACGCAAATCGAAGAGAGTGAAGTGAATTTTTCCGATTTCCGATTATAAATATGTATTTTTTTTTCTCTTCATAAATGAGACAATAAAAAAAAGGATTGGGTTTCTGAAAGGGTTTTCTATTTTTTCTCAACTGAATTTAATTTCCACATATATACTTTCTTAACTTCACTATCATTTTCCTTATATTTAGTATTAATTATGATAATTACAATTTTTATACACCTTGGAAATTTTAAATAAAATAAAAATATGGTTGGTTGTTTTGGGTAAGACCACCGACACAAGAGTTCAAACAACCGTGACCGAATGGATAAATTGGATAGAAGAAAATAACATTATAAACAAGAAATGATCAAAGGCTGATAAACAATATTTTATACATTAGTACATAAGACTACAAATCCTAGTAAGCTACAAAACCCCCTTTGTACATGCCAAAATATTGAAAAACCAACAATTTTAGATAAAATAAAATGACATTTGTATACTACATTATGGGATTGATTCAAAAGCATCTCAATATAAAGGTAATCCATTGTGGTTTGAGGCCAAACCAGAGGACCTGAACGGCCAAAGATGCCACAATGGATTTTTCCGGCCATTACTCCGGTCTTGTGGTAGTTCTTTGCGGCAGACGGGGCAAGTATTACGCTGGACTAACCACGGGAGTATACATTCCGAATGGTAGATATGTTTACACGGCATCTTTCTTGCATCCGATCCGATTTCAAACTGGTCTTGGCAAACCGGACAATATGGATCCAAACCGAGATGCTTCTGCTTAATTTTGATCTTTTGCAATGAGTTAATCGCAGCTAGTGAAGCTGGAGGAGGACCACGACGATCTTGCGCTGGGAGCCGGTTCAACAACTCTTCAAAACTTAGTTGGTCTCCGAGAACCGATCTTCTGTTATTGTGACGGTTACGAGCTTCTTCAAAGGCTAATCCGAATAAATCAAAAGGGCTTAGTTCCACATTCTCATAGAGTCTCTCAAGAAAGGTGTTACCACAATAAATGCAAGCTCCTCCTCTTCTGCCTTCTCCTTGAAGATGGATTCCTCGTCTACAAGTATTACACCAATGTGTGCTTTTTCGCCTAGTCGTAGTCATGGATCTGCAAAGAACTATTCTTTCTCGTCAAACCATTGTCAAGGACCTTTGAGACCAAAATATTAAAAACCACTCATCGTTTGTAACTCTACTAGTGCACTAGGTAACATTCCGGACGGAACAATGCTCAATATCACAATTGGGAATTTTGAAGTTGGGAAATGAACTAAATTCGAAGAGATTATGAGTCAAAAGTCCGAAAGTGTTTTGCTATACTAAACAACTTGCCTAAATCCAAAATGGAAACACTAGAAGCACAGTTTGAAAGATAGTAAAAACAGTGAACCCTTATGTATCAACAAATAGAAACATCACAGACAAGAAAACGCAAGAAAATCTTATAGCAAGGTTGCTTGTAAATTTGATTTCTCAATAATATCACTATTTACGAATTGGAATAACGTAAAGACCAGTAACTTCGAAATATGTAAAGACAAGATATTGATTAAAAGGCCTCTAGATCCAAATCAAACGCAAATTATGTAGAACAAATACAAGTTATGTTTAAGCTTCATAGCTTAATCCTTGACTCATGATTTTGTTGTAAAATAAAAAATTATGCATAAACAAGATCTTGGGTCAGAGATGAAGCTATGGAGCATAAACGATAACTTGTGATTGGTGAAACAAAACGAATGAAATCTAGCTTACCCGAGTTAAAATAGATCGATCCGACAAACTCGTGAATCTCCAAGTGCGAAAGAAGATTAAAATAGAAGAAGAGGAAACTTCTGATAGAAGAAAAGTCTTTTACGCAAAATAGATAGTCGAGGATGATATTGACGACGAAACTTCAAAGACAGCTTCTACAACGGGAACATGTGGCCGATGCTTAACTAAAGAGTCAAAGCACGAAACTAACCAGAAATTTAGTGAAAAAATACAAAAAAAAAAAAAAAAAATTGTGCTAATTAATATCTGTGGGACTAACAATGTTTTTTGAAACCAACACATAATTGTGACACCAAAAACGCGTTGTTAGACTATGGACATTTGTTACTTAACAAGTATTCACGTGATAAATGTAGATATCCATAACTTTGAAAAATGAACACCACATTGTTTATATCAGGACAGGACATGTGTTTACTAGCTAGGCCATGTGTTAACTTTTCTTTAATCAAGGGTCATTATGTCATATAAGACAATCACATGTATAGGCTATTAATTATCAACTAAATAATCATTCTATTAATCATAAGTTTATATCTTTAAAATCAATACATATTGACAAATTCAATAATTTACTTAGACGAGTTATCAAGATATAAATGATCAAAATTACCAAAGTTTTTTTTTTTTTTTTTTCTAATAACCATAGTTTTTTATTTTAGTGAAAAATGGTAAACATCAACCTGTTCCAATTAGTTGTGTTTTTTTTTTTCTTTTTGCTTTTTAAAATTCTAGGGTCTTCTCTTTAATTGGCTCAATCTCTGTTACTTTAATTTTCTCGGGAAAGTTCTTGTGGACTTTCTGGCGAAACTCTTTTGTCAGATTCTCAGGCGAAATTAATTCCAACAAAAAAAAAAAAAAAAAAACTACTATACGGATTTTTTTTGATCATCCATATTGATTTCATATTCAAAAAGCTAAGATTATTGTTAAATTCAAATTGAATTAGGTTTTTTCAGATCGAGAAATTCGAAGATGAAACCATCGGTTTCGTTGGATAATTGGAGGGACTATTTCCGGCGAGGAGATTCTGATATTTTTGGTATCATTGATCATGCAATTATGGTAGCTGCTGCAGATTGGCCAAATGAGTTTAAATCCAGGAGAGATAGAATTGCTGAGCTTCTATTCTCTTGTAGAGTGAGTCGCTGCATTGGTTGTGACCACCTTGAGCTGTCGATTGCTGGAGACGAAGAGGCTAACCATGGCTGTAGGACGGTGGAGACAGTTGGCGGCGGCGGTGATAGGGATGATTCTGGTGTTGCGACGGATGATGGCGAAGAGGCTTCTGTGATTGTTGATGAGGTTATGAGGAACAGAGATATCTTGTTGAACAAAGAAGATGAGGTTTTTAGTCTATTTGATTGAATTTCATCAAAAGTTGTGCTAATTCATTGGTTAAATTTGGAATCTTTTGGGTTTTTGATTGTTGGTTTTTGGTTTCTGTTATCTTTTTTTGCAGACAGAATCTGTGTTACTCGAATCCCTGAGAAAGCTTGAGTCAATGTCTATGAGTGTAGACATTCTTAAGGTTTGTTAATTTTTTTGATAATGTATGGTTTGGTGTAGTAGAAGTTTCTGAATCGTTGTTCTGATCGAGCTTTTAGAGGCTGTGGAGTGATTTAAGTGTTTACGTTCTTGCAGGATACTGAAATCGGAAAGGCTGTTAATGGTTTGAGGAGACATAGTTCCGATAAGATTAGCAAACTTGCAAAGACTCTTTTCGCGTATGAGTTTTATCATTCTCAGTTTCTCATTGTGTGCTTAGTTTCATTTGTTCGCATACCCTCGCATTTGTGATGTGCATTAAACTTTGGCAAAAGGTTCCAAGAAAATCGACCTTTACATCCCAACAGCACCAATAAGAAGTAAAATACTGTTTGATTTAGATGCAAACCAGCTACCTTTTAGGATGTAGAAATTGCACACTGTCATTAGAAGGGCCTTGGTTGATCATTAGGAACCTGTTCTTGTGCTAGTTTAATGAACATTTTACTCTTCCGCACTTCCTGGCTCCCGAATATAAAGATTGTGTGTTTTATATATGGGATGCACAGAGAGTGGAAGAAGTTGGTGGACCAGTGGATGAACACCCCGGAGGAAATGGCTGGTAAATAGCTCTATCCATCCTGTTCCGTAGTTACTGCGAGCAGGTTTTTGTCTAGATTTATAGTCATTGGCTCTTGTAGGCACTGAAGGTACGCCAGAGTCAGCAAACCTTTCAGTAATTGATGAAGAAGAAGCCTTTCCTTCTCCTCCACATGATTTAGATATCTATGCACCTGAACCCAATGGATTTGAACTCTCTCAGGTCTATAAACATCTTTCTCGCTCGTCATATTTTATTTCGGGCATAGAGGAAATGTTATCCTGACAAGTTTCTTCTCTTGTCCCTGTTTCAAAATGTCTTTGGTCACTTAAAGATCTTAGATTGCTTGGACTGCGATGGAAGTGAGTTAATACACTCTTTGGTACTCTGTTCTCTACCTGAAAGTCTTCCTATATTTTGAAACTCATGGTGGTGAATGATTTCAGATCCTCGTCACAGTGTGGAGTCAAAACATGAAAGAAAAATGCAAAGTAGCGAGAGGAGTAGACCTGAGGGTACAAATGAAGCCAATGTGGTTGGGGGGTACAGCAAGGATCAACACATTAGGAGAGAAGATAGACCTATGAAGCACTCAGCCACCGATTTTGATGAGCCTAGAAGACAACTAAAGCAAAGTAGAGAACAAATGGTACCCGCAATCCAAAGAAAACCGCCTATTGTTGCTAAGCAAAAGCGGAAACTTGCTGGACCTCAACAAGATGTGAGTGTCTGAGCTAATATAACTGTGGTGTTTGATTATTTGTTTTCTTCTAATAGCAACTGTCTTTGTTCTTGTCACTCTATTCAGAAACTCAAAGCTCTGGATCCAGACGCAAAGTTTGAGTTTGCAAAGCGGAAACTCCAAGAGAGCTACCAACAACATGAGAATGGTTAGTCTAATCCTCTTAAGAGATTTAAATATTTCCACTATTTCAATACAAATCTCAATGCCCATTTGATTTTCAACAGCCAAGAGACAGAGGACGATACAAGTACTGGAAACTATCCCAAAGCAAAATAAAGTTCAGAAACCGCAACTCAAGAGACCCACACGAAGATAGTCCAGTTTTTCTTCGGATAATCTATACAATTACTACGACCATTCACGGGCGTTAATATACAACAAAAGTGCATTTGACAGATCCAACTTAAACTTCATAGGATGCTCTATTCTTTTGTTCCAATTTTTAATTGGTACTTCTGGTCCGGTTTTGTGACAAGAGAACCTCATAATTGTGAGTCTGTGACAAGTGAATATATCCCTTTTTTTTACTTTCTTCTTTTTCATCAAGAAAATAAAAAAATAAAATTATTAGAACAAAAGGGCTTCTCGTATTTGACCATCTCTAAACCTAACTTGTGCGGCAAGCAAACTACGTAACTGGTTTGACATTGTTCAATTTTAATTGTTTATGCAAAGATTTTTTAATTTTTAATATCACTAATTAAAGAGGTGAAATATATATATAGAGTGATAAATTCCTAGGATTACGAGTTTCCTTCCCTCATCCTCGCGCGAATCCTCGTTATAGTTCCTCAATTTTCAAGGTATCTACTTCGATTTTCCTCTTCCCGTGGTTGTAAGTTTTGGTTAGTTGATTTGTACATGTTTTCTATATCCGAGTGGTAATTTCCTTTCAAAGGTTTGTGTGTAGATTGATAAACCTGATTGTTAAACATTGAGCTGTTGAGAAATTTGACCTAGATTTTGTACGTCGTGGTACACTCGTTGAGTCTTTGATTGGAAATCGAAACCCTAATTTCGTGGCCTTGATTGACAAACCTTTGTGAGAGCAGAGGTTTAGTAAAACAATGGTCTCTGTTTGCATGAGCTTCTTCTTGTGATGTGTATCGTGTCATTGGAATTGCATAGGATTGAAATTGAGGTGCATATAGACATGAGTTGATTGGTTGCTCTCTTTTTTTCTCCAAAAGAAACAGAAAAGTAATTCCTGTATATTTTTGACTAGTACTTGTGCAGATGGATAAAGCAGAAATGGTGGATGAGATGATGATGTTCAAGAAGATGAGTGTCCTTCCCACTGAAAAGGATTTTCTTGATGCCATCGTTTCGGTTTCTCTCCAGGAGCTTAAGAGATCATCCCTCAAGTCCAAGGCTTGCCCTAAGTTTGACCCTATCCATATGGCTTACAGGGAGACGGTTAGGTTCGTAGGGACTACCTTTTCTGCTATGGTCTCTAAGGTTTTTAAAGAGTTTCGCCCCCTCGATGAAACTCATCCCGTGTTCGGTCGCCTCATCTCTCAGCGATTTGATATTAGTCACTTGTCCCTTGCCGTTGCACAACTGGTAAATGCAAAGAGACTGTTTTACAGTATCAGCATGAGGTTTGTGCAGCTACTGAACAAGGATGATTGTGATTCACTGGACAAGTGCAAGCGCCTGAATGTGGCTGCTCTCGGCTGCTTGCTTACTGTTGCTATGAGAATCCTCCCTTGTTTGGCTTATCTCGAAAAGGTCAGGCAGTACATGGCTCAGGCGACTGAGAAGGATCTGGAAGATGAGAATGCTGCTACTCTGACGAACAAGAAGCATGTCGCCCTCTTGTCTAAGGAAGCCTGCACTGGCCTTCACACCCCTCGCTTTGATATTCAAAATGTTGCCGGCTTTGTTCTTCCAGAAGCTGTTGCTCGGGTCGAAGAGTTGGGGCTTGAATATGTCTTCAAGCTCCAAGATAATCAACTGGACTCTGCAAAACTTTCCCAAACTCACAAGGAGCACCTGGTGCATTATTCTCGCTTATAAATCAATCTGTTGAAGAATCAATGTCTCTCGGTTTTTATTCTATATCTAGTCTCTGATATTGTCGACATTTGTTTCTTTAGGTCCAATAACATGAAGATTCTCTAAAATTTAGTCTTGATTAAGCTAAAAAAATATAGTTTTATTTCATGATACAATCCCTTGGAACTTCAAGTCCACTTGTTGTGACCCTCCAAAAGCATTCCCTAGAAACTTTGCAACAATAGATATGAACTCATCTGGCTTTTCCTCTTGAGGAAGATGACCACATTTCTTAATTACTTCGAACACCGATCCCGGTATGGCTCGTGCCAGCCTCTCTGCGTTCCAAGCTGGCACAATCCGGTCTGTATCTCCCGTCACAATCAGAACTATATTACCAACATGAAGAAAAGTGTCATGTCATTGATTCACACTATATATAATGCACAACTCTTGGTTCCAGTTGTGATTCTAATACATTGAAAGCACAAATGAAATTGTCAGGATTGAATAGAAAGAGATGTTACCCGGACATTTGATTTCTTGGAGTCTTTTCGACAATGGGGGTTTTTTCTCTGAGCCATTATTATCTGTTAGTGTAGCGACTGTGAATTCCACTAGAGCTTTGTCCCATCCCTTGGCTCTTAGAGGCTGTTTATTTGGCAACAAATGCAAATCAGATTTTCCAACTTTACACATGACAATGCAGAGGAGATACATAAACCTGAGAAACCCGAAAATTCCACCTTTGTATAACCCTGGACGACGTGATCCGTCACTTGTTTCGAGTCATACCATGCGTTTCTAACAGCTGTTACTCCAAATTTATTGATTGCCATCCTCACCTGGTGAAAAACCCATCACCTTAAACTCATCAAGTAAGATCCTTTCGAGGTTCGCTAGACCCACATTTCTTGGTCTAACAACATATAAAAATGAGATGACTGGTGAATGAAGCCAAGACAAAAAAAAGCGGTACCAGCATTACTCCAAGAAAGGACCTGAGGAAAGCTGCTAAAGCTTTCTTGTAGAGAGAATTCAGCATATTCGCCATTCCCGTAACCACTCTCAAAATTGCTCTTATAACGCCTTTGGTTAACTCAACTAGAGTCCCTAGAAAGTTGGTTGTTGGAGCTTCTTTGCCACGGTTATCTCCAGCATCAGTTGTGGCCACAGGACGGGGAGCGAATATAGCTGGAGCGACGAGAATGAGAGCAGCAACACGCTCTGGGGCTTCAAAGTAAGAATCTACAGCTATAGGGCAACCTGCAGAATGTCTACAACATATGAAAAACAATCTCAGCTTATGGTGGCCCTTAATTAAGAAATGCAAAGTATATAGAACCTACTAACTGACCCCACAAGAATCGCCTTATCGGCAGCAAGAAAATCGATGAAATACAACGTAGTGAGCACGGAATACACCATAGAGTAGGGATTCAATGGTTTTGCATCATTGGCAGTACCACTAAACGGGTGGAAAATCCGAGAAGTCAAGCCAAATGCGGGTCTATCAAAGGCCAGAACTTTTGAACGGACGAGCCGAGCCAGAGGCTTCATAACTCTGTTCCAGGAGAACACAGAAGCGCCAAAGCCGTGCAATAGAATCATCGGAAACTCGGTTTTTGGTGTTTCTTGAGCATGGAGGCTTGGGGTTGAAACATCATCAGAGAGTGTCTGTGGATCAAACACTTTGTGGTGTATATGAACACCTTGAAACTCACAGAAACAGCTGTCTGGATCAGCTAAGTTCATAGGATCTTGTTCTGTTTCAGCTTCCATCTCCTCTTTACCCTGAGCTCCATCATCTAAATATTGATCTGAATATTCATGAAACACAGAGAGATTACGCATATAAAATAAATCTTTATAAAAAAAAAAAAAAAATTGTGAAACACAGAGAGGTTAATCAATCTAATTTCATAAAATTGGAACTAGAAGCTCAAATGTTTCACAAGTAGTAGAAATACTGAATCTTATAGGTGAGTCCAGAAACCTTCAATATAATAGTTACCTAACACGAATGTTGAAGAACTCAGAGAGATTCGTCAATTGAAATCTGAACTATGAGTGGAAGCTCATGAACTAGAGCAAGTAGAAAGAAAGTAACAATTCTTTTACGTGTACCTGGGAAGCCGCCAGAGAGAGAAGGAGAAGAAGAAGCAGCATTGGAGACGACGAGACGGCGAGAGGGTTGGCCAGAGATCCGGTGAGACATCTGAAAATGGGTTCGTGAGGAATCTAAACTAAGCTTGTCGTTGAGAGAGGATAAGGAAGCGAAAGTTGAGAGAATCTGCTTTGGTTGGTTCAAAAAGAAGATGCATTTGGTGTTTAAATTCATTCTTGCTTCCTAATTATCATACAGAAGAAGATAACTTAAACTATAGTACAAACAAAAGTTTCTGCTTTTTCTAAATAACACGGGAAGGTTAGAACATACAGTGTTCTGTCTTGTTAAAATTAATAAATAAATAAAAAAATAAAAGAAATGGTGTAGTAGTTCTGACTTCTCAGTTCTCACCTTCAATCTATTGGACAAAGAATAAAGATCACTGGATGGAGAAAAGGACCTAAACGTAAAAAGCCCACTCCATTCGATGCCACTTGGCAGTGCTATGGGGCAAGATAAAGTAACTGAAATTCTTCTCAAGTTGTTGTAAGTTTCCATGCGTTTAATTATCCAATCTAAACCAAATTTTAGTTTGATTTCGGAAAAATCAAAAAGCGAAACATTCAAAGATGAAGACGGCTTATCCACAATACACTGAAACTTCAAAAGGGTGTACGGCTTACAAGTCGGTCTGATTTCGGTTTACCAAACCGGTTCACAGTTTCACACAGAATATCAACATGACTGGTTCAAACACCTTTTACAGGATCATTCAACACAACACACACAAAGTATAGGTAAGAAGTTCTCCATTTATCATCCCCTCCACTGATCCTTCTTGTTCCGAACTTCCCTCAGTGTATCAATTGGCGACTTGCAACCGAGTTTCTCCTGGAAAATAACAAAGTTGACCCCGAGATGCGACAAGAGTAAAGATCGATATCTAGTGATAACTTGAATAAAAGCAAATAAACAAGTAATCTATAGCCTTGTTCAAAAAGATGAACCAAATGGAGTAACAACCTGTATCTCTGGCTTATCAACGCGCATAAATGGGTTTGTTTCGAGCTCTTCTTCTAGTGTTGAAGGGATTGTCTGAAGATCTGCTTGGCGCTGTTGACGGGCCCATGCTAACTTCTGCTGTATCTTCTCGTTGTTTGGTTCCACAGTTAAAGCAAATTCCAAGTTTTTCACCGTGTACTGAGGAGAAATGAATAGCAGATTATTACGTTTCTAGACATCGTTTTTATGAGTTAAAGAGCTCAAAAGACATATTGAAGCTGTTGTTCTTTTACCTCGTGGCCGCAGTAAACCTGTGTTGGTTTAGGTAATGAAGCAAGAGTCACACACAATGACTTATACATCTGTTCAGCTGTCCCTTCGAAAAATTTCCCGCATCCAGCAACAAACTGTATAGAAGTAACCACAGTGCTTAGTAACAGAGATTTATGATAGTTGAGGATTTGCGTGAGTAATGTGAAACCCTAAATGGATTTGTTAGTATGAATAAAAAGTTTCAAGGGAAAAAGAGGAGAGTTGAGATTCATTATCTTAATCAAGCAGCTTTAACTTATTACTATCTCCATTTAGACATAAAAAAGGCGATGAAGATATAAGGAGAACATATAGTGCGTATGGTAAGATCTGTTTTCGTTCTTCATAACAATAAGACAACTAGAGCGATAGACTGAGAGAAGGAGAGAGAGAGAGAAAAAGAGAGAGGAGGACAAAAGGATCCAGCTTAAAGTTACTACTTACAAGGGTATCTCCAGTGAACACAGCTGGGTTTTCTCCTTCTTTTCCGGTTACATAATAACTAATGTGACCCTTGGTGTGACTGTCACAAATAGATATATCAGAGGAATCAGCGGTAACAAGAGAAAACGACCGAGGCAATAACAACAAAGTAGATTAGATGCATCTAAATTCATCCAAAGAAAAAAGAACAAACCAAGGGGTGTGGAGAGCCAATATGTTGACATCCTGACCCAAAGTCAGCTTGTCACCATTATCAACCGCATCAGTGCACCCTTTCACTTTATCCAGAGAACCTCCATATACTTTGATTTCAGGAACCAACTGCTTAATCTTCTCGTTTCCACCGGCATGATCCCTTTCATCATATCAAGCCACCAATCAAAAAATAAGTTTTAAAATGAAAATGCCGCCTCAAACCCCAATTTCATCGAATACAAAGGCAACAATCATATAGTAGACATAAATCTTGCAGCTTTAAGACGTGAAACACTAATGCACCTACTTCAAAAAGTAGACAAAATCTAGCATATATCACTGAGCAATAGGAACCAATAGAGAGTCTCGGAGATGAATCAAATTAGACTTTTATTAGTGAAATAGAGGGGAAGTGTACCAGTGATGATGCGTGGTGAGTACGAACTTGATCTTAGCTTGGTGCTGCTCAGCCGATGCAATCACCTTCTCCGGATCAACTGGATCCACAACCGCCGCGTCTCCGGTGCTCTCATCGATTATCCTTTTTTTCCATTTTACCAAAAAAAGAAGAATCAAATCCAAAATTGATGATGAACCGAATCAGATAAAGAAGAATCGAAAATTGAAGAAAGATACACGAAATCACTCACAGATAAGAGTAGTTGTCTTGTAGACAAGGAACGTGGAAGATCTTCATCGCCGTCTCCTTCGATCGATCGTCCTTCTCCTCCAGAACACTAGCTGTATCATTTATGGAAATATCACTATAGTGATTATCCACTTCGGTTTACCCAAACCGGATCTAACCAAACAGCTCAAGATATAAAAATTTGCCGCAGGTGATCCGGTTAAATCGTAATTGTAACTGAACCGAGATCGGATTAAAACATAAGCTTCGTTGAGAATCGTTTATTTTAGGTTTTGGGGAGATTCGTTCTCGTACTGTGGATTGTTGTTGTTGTTGGGATTATCTGAGAAGAGAAGAAGAAATGGGGAAGCAGCCGGTGAAATTGAAGGCGGTGGTTTACGCACTTTCTCCGTTCCAGCAGAAGATCATGACCGGTCTCTGGAAGGATCTGCCGGAGAAGATCCATCACAAGGTCTCTGAGAATTGGATCAGTGCCACTCTTCTCGTTACCCCTGTCGTTGCAACCTACTGGTACAGCTCTCCCTCTCTCTCTCTGTCTCTCTTATCAATCGATTGGTAAACGAATCTTTGGATTGAGTTCCGATCTGGTGATTGTTCTTCGATCTGGTTGTTGTACGAATTTTCGGTTTCTGTGTCATCGAGCTAGTGCGGCGCTAAATGGATTTAGGGTTCTTCGTTTGTGACATAGGAACAAATGAGAAATGATAGAATTAAGTTAGCTGGAGAAGAGTATTAAGTATAAACCTAGAACCACCACCACCATGGAGATATGGATAACAAGTCTAGATTCCTCTATTGTGAGGTTGTGTTTTGAAACTGTGTAGTATAGAGACTCTCAGCTAGAATAAGTCTTTCAGGTATCAATTATTATTATTGATGAACCACTTTGTGGAATTGCATTTAAAGATCTTGAGGATGTTAATGGCCTAATTGTAATCATTATTAGCTAATTAGTGTGTATCTATTAAACCTGTTGAGTTCTTGCTTGTGAAGACTACTGTACTATGTTTATCGTCATCTTCTTCTGTGCTGAATCTGCCAATACACAAATGAATGCAGGTATGCTCAATACTTCAAGGAACAGGAGAAGCTTGAGCACCGATTCTGAAGCATGAACTCACTCCTTTTCTACAAGAACCTTATAGTTTGAAGTCACTTCTTTTGTTTGAAGTCATAATTTTCATCAAAACTCATGTGGGAATCTTCTGAGTCAGTTTTTCTGAAACTCTATTGCTAAATAAATGTTTTGGTTTCTTGACAATGACTGTTGATGTTCATCTTTCTTGTTATGGTATGAAAATTGGATTGAATCGAATAATCTATTGATCCCTCAAAACAACTGGGCAAACCCAAACACTTTCTATGTTCCCTTAAAACATCAACTACCAATACTAGGCTTGCGTTTTTTTTACACGTCTGGTCCGGTTACTCTAGACGTAAACGGATCAACCCGAATCCACAACGACGAGAAGATCGAAGCAATAAGAGCTGACCAGACCACAATAATGGTTGGAGTCTGTCGCCCCATCAAACCCTTGAATGGGGTATAAGTGAACAATCACCCAAAAGGCAAAGAAGAGTTTACCAAAGAGAGGTCCCCAAGACTATTTGATAGCATAAGAAACTCCTGCAACCACTCCTACCAGGTTTATGATGAGCAGAGTCGTTGGTGGAACTAGAAGTGTTGTCCATTTGACCAAGTAAAGCTCGATGGAGTCACTGTCTTCCGAAGTTGGTGGAACTAGAAGTGTTGTCCATTTGACCAAGTAAAGCTCGATGGAGTCACGGTCTTCGATTGAGGCCTTTGAGGTGACTGTGAAGTTGGTGTTGATACCGGCGAGGACTTTAAGTAGACCTTGGAAGACTGCAAACAAGTGAGCTGATACACCATCAATGAGTCAATGACCCAAAACTGCTCGTTTCTCCACCATTCGTCTATGCCCACACCGCTCCATCTCATTTCTGTTTCGTCTTCGTAATGTAAGACACACTCACTCTCTTTCTCTTCTCTTTCACAGGATCATCAAGTCTTCTTCTCCATAGAAATTTATGGAGGAAGCTTACAAGCTACAATAAAATCTCCACATACATTACACCGACACCTTTACACTATCTTTTCTGATTACACTCTATTTCATTTTTTTCCCCATTTAACATTTCTTTCTACACGATTTGCCGCAATTTAATTCGGTTTACACGTAACCCGGTTCCATTCTAAACTACAATCCAAATTAAAAACTTTAATATTATCACGAAAGATAAAAATAAATAAAACATATTTATTCCAAAACCATTAGTAAAATAGTAAAATACTAAAATGTCATATAAATCAAAGTAAATTAACACACTCTCTGAGTCTCTCCACAAAACTGATCACTTAACCGGTTTTTAAAACAACAAAACACAATCCTTTTGTTCTTAATCTTTTAGATAGAACCGACGGAAACGGCAGCTTTGATGAGTAAACCGAAGAGAACAAAAGGGTTAGAGAAGAAAGGAGAATGGTCGCTCTCCAATTCGTAAACTTGGCTCGGTGGCCACCGTCTTATCATTGCGTCTTGCTGCTCCGGTTTCATGACCCGGTCGAGTAACGTCTTGATGTACACACGCGGTACTTGCTCCTCTTGTCCAGTTTCTTTTTCTTCGTCCAGTTTTGCGGTCGTTAACGCCAAAATTGGTGCTGGTCTCATCATTAATGCAGCCAATGAACATTCCTTTACACCAACACAAAAAACAAAAACAAAAACACACAAGAGTATAAAAGGACTAGAAATTTGGATTGGATGAAATAGTTGTATTATTTTATTCGATATGTTATCCACAACAATTCGATATGTAACATCTAGACAACCACAATTCTACTGAACAAAACATAGTAGACAAAAATCACGAATATTTAACTTTAATAATGCAGGATTTGGATATATAATATACATGTGTAATACTAAGTCCTACACTTAAACATTAAATCTTGGATCTTTGAGCTTCTATATATATGAAATAAAACAGTAGTGAAACCTGTTGAGGACTCATGTGGTAAAGGAGTTTTCGTCGGAATTCATGTTTGATAATAGCACTGGTTGGAGGATTCTCAGGTCCTAAACCAAAACCGAGCTCGTAGACATCACCATGTTCTGATAGATCAGGCACTCCCTGTAACAAAGAAACATAACGTCACACACAAGTTAACTTGACTTTAAAGAAATCTGTATTTTTTTTTACATTTTTCATGTCTTCATCGGTCTGAAGCCCGTATTTGAGCATCGAAGCTCCGATAAAAACAGCAAGACAGATCTTCTTAGGGAATCTCTGTATCGCGCTCGTTACGCTAAGCCCTCCCGCACTGTGACCCACAAGTATCACCTGACAAAAACAGAACAGAGAAAAAACAGAGTGAGTTTGCTTCAGATTCACGAATCTATCCAATTGAGTTCTGAATTAGGTTTCACCTGTTCTTGTTCAGGGAAAGAGGAGAGGAAGTCGATGAGTGGTTGGTTGTATTGGTCGAAGGTAGTGAGAGAATCGGCGGATGAAAAATCGATGCCGGAGGATTTGAGGTCGATGCAAGTGACGGTGAAGCCAGAGACTTCCATGAGACATTTGATCTTGTACCAGCACCATGATCCTAAGCTCATGCCATGTATTAGCACAAAGTGTGGTGGTTTTCTTCCTGGTTTGAGGTCTACGGTTTCTTCTTGATTCTCCTCCGCCATTGATTACGCCGGAGTTTTGCCTGTGATTTTAAGGGTTTTTTTCCAAAGAGTGCTCTGTGTGTCTTGTCACATTTGTCAAGGGCATATATAGTGAAAATTGAAAATATCTTTGTTTCTTTCTCAGTTGGGTGATTTTTTAAAAATTAATAATTGTATTCTACTATTAAGAAACGACCATTGTGCTTTGGATAGAAATTTAACAAGGAATATATAGAATGTCTACTTGCGTCTAATGTGTAGGATTTTTTCCCTTGTGCAGCTCATTTTTTAGCTTAACTCCTGTTTTTAATTTGGTATAAATAGATTTTTGTCCAATATTAATCCGGTCAACCGATAAGTTCAAATTTATTTAGTAAAATACATACTCCCTCCGTTTTAATTTAGTTGTCGTTTTAGGATTTAAATTTTGTTTCATAATAGTTGTCGTTTTAGGTTTTCAATGCAAATGTTTAGTGAAAATTCCAGTTTTATCTCTACTGTTTTAATGTTTTGGCCAATGAAATTTTTTATAAAATATATTAATAAAGGGTAAAACAGAAAATTTAACGATTTTCTTAATTTGTGTGCACAAACCTTAAACGACAACTAAAACAAAACGGAGGAAGTAATATAATAAAGCAGTTAAAACTTAAAAGTAATTTGTTAAAAAGATATTCCAAAAAAAAGATTTATAGGAAAAGAAAAAACTTTATTACCACCATGTTAATAGACATGGTTCTTTGTACAATGCTAGTTTTTTTTTAATGGTTTTCGACGTAAACACTTCTTTTTTGCAAATTCTGAATTTGATGCAGCCGTTAAGGTAATTGTATTTGTATCAATTCAATCTTAAATTAGCGTTTACTACGATAATTAAAAAGAAAGGTGAAGAGTTTTTTTTTATATAATTATTATATAGACATATAATATCAATTGATCGTTTTGGTTGTGGATCCGACTTTTGTATATGGTCACTTGATTTATTGCATATTCATAGTTGGGGTAGTCAATGAGTAATAATTGTGTGTTCTGACTATATTCTTATTATTAGTACTATTTACGTTTTATCCGCACTAAAATAATTCTCTAAATAATTTATGTCATGCCATTAAAATAATTCTTGATCGGATTTTCTAGTTTAAAGTTCATAGTTATTTCAAGATTAACGATTACAAGACGGCGAGGAGGATACAAATTATAAACGACTCTCAATCTAAACTAATAAAGAAAATCCATTTGATAGCTGGATTCAATTAGACGTGATAAAGAAAAGAGAAAACATACTAATAGTCATCGTTAAGATAAAATGTTACTTAGATTCAGGTATGTCACGTGTGTTATCAAGACCCGTGCTATGATTTGTTTTGTAATTTGATTAAAGTTATAGTACTATATCCGATAGCTAAAGTATTTTCCCGTCAGTTTTTTAACGCAGAGATAATAAATTTCATTGACCAATTTAATGCTCGTAACTCTAAAGAGCAATTTGGTTTTACCTAAACTTATGAACCATGAGTTTGCCGAAGGGAAAAAAAGTTCAAAACAAATGCAAATGGTAGTAATTCAAAGGATTTAGGTTTACCGTACACGTCAAAACTCAAAACTATTGACTCATTTGATTAGTTTATGCAATTTTCACGTTCATAAATCCATTTGGAACTGAAAATATGCACGATATATAATATTATAATCCTTGCTCGGAACCATTAAATTAAAAATGGAAAGATTTTTGACTTTTGTGTAATTGTTTTATTTTCTTTTCTATCTCATTGTTAAAAGAAAAATTAAAGAATGAAAAAAAAAAAAAAAAAAAAAAGAAGAAGGAATAAGGTGCAAATAATTAAACACTGATTGAAAAGGGAAAAAAGGAGAAGTGTCACAAACAAAGATGAAGATATCTCCTCCTTTTCAGTGGGTAACGAAAGCGTCTTTTCTATTTTTCTTTTTCCCATATCCCTAATTTTCGGTTTATTTTGTAACCTATATTGTATAACCCAATTTATTTTTCTTTTCTATGCTATAGTCTAGACAAACGAACGCGTGAAATGAAAATGACATATACTACATGACTTTGGATTAATTCTAATTGTTAGTTTCTAGTATACAAAATATTCCATATTTTGAGGGTTTTCTACACATGCCTTTTTTCCTCTAGCCATATTAAAGTTTTAAAGAAAAAACGTGTAGATTTTGTAAATCTTCATTAAAGTTTTAAGATTATGGTAGTGTTTAAAGACCGGAGAAACATCCAAAAGAAAGACAAAAAAAGGCCGGAGAAACATCCAACAAAAAAAAACCTTGGGTTGTAAAAAAGATCATCACTCCACAAAAATTAGCTTTTGGTAACATTTCGTGAAAAGGAAAAAAATGCAATAAGTGAGATATGACAATGACATATGAAATGGTCAGACGAGAGACATGTGCCTAAAGGCAAGCCTTTGCCAATTGTCAGTGTCTTTGTGGACAAATGGAATCAGATTCATTTTTATTACGTGTAACGTTTTTTCCCATTATATAATTCTCTATAATTTACTTTAGTCTCATAAGTCATAACTAACCAAAACTGTTACTAGTTAACAAAATGGTTCATCAGTAGAACAAATATTTAAGTTTGGTAAGAAATAAAACGTAAAACCTACTGATATATGTTAATTAAATTTAGATTATTGATCTTTCAGTTTCTTTAGGTCTAGACACCCCAACGTACATGTTAACTAAAAAAACGTACATGATACATCTATACATTTTTTTTCTTATCAAACTGGTCTCGTAAGGTCGAAACCCATCTTGAACACTCGACCATGCAGAAATGATTTTACTGAATTTTGCATGTTGGGGCTAGTGGAGAGAAACCATTTCCTTTTGTCTGAAAAGTTCTTAGACTATGTACATTGGTTTAAAATTACAACACCCTACTTTTTACCTTTTAACACTCCACATCATAATTCAATACTCATTTTACTTTTATATTTTACAATGGTTTAAAAAAAGATTTCATAATTTAATTTTCTTTTATGTTTTTTTATTTAGTGATTATACATATTACTAAATAAATTTTTTGATTAAAATTATAATAAAATAATTAAGAGTCAAATAACTTTTGTATGCATTTTTATTTAATATATTAATTTTTAAAATAAAATAAATAATAGAGAAATTGTTAAAAATGCCCCTTTTTCAATACCCCTTTTCAAAAATGCCCTCTTTGAGAGTCCATTTTTAAGTTTGCCCTCTTTTAATTTTTAATGACCATTTTACCCTTATTTGAAACAAAATTATGTCCACAAAATACAAAATATTTTTTGGCGGGAAAAGTGATCCCGCAATTTTCCCGCCAAAACACTTGTAAAAACCTTTAAAAACCCTTGTAAAATTTTCCCGTAAAAATTTTTCCCGCCAAAAAAATTTTTTTGCGGGAAAAGTGATTCCGCAATTTTTTTTGCGAAATTTTTTTGGCGGGAAAATTTTTGGCGGGAAAAATTTACAAGGTATTTTAAAGGTTTTTTGCAAGGTATTGACAAGTGTTTTGGATGGTCCTTCTAAGCCTTTATCAAGGTTCACAATGTACTTTTTCAGCTTTATAGAGTATTTACAACTTCT